GCGCCTGCTGCCGCCTCAGGTGAGGCGCCGCGGGGGTGGAGAGACTCCGAGGTGGCCGGTGCCGCGGGCGTTCAGAACCCAGGTCTTCCCCAGACCAGCTCCGTGGAAACGGTACAGGGACGCACCCTGCGCGCCCAGCCCTCTTCGGAACATTCCCCTGCCTCTTCTGCTCCGTGCCCCTGCGAGCCTCCTGGTTCCCCTTACAGGCCTTTGTCCTTCGTTCAGTATTTATATAACACGTGTAGTATGGCAGGTTCTACACTAAGACCAAGCTTACCTTTCAACGCCCCGCGGATAGTATAATACACGTTCTGGGGGTGACAAGAGAGAACTTTCTAGTGGGCGGTTCCAGAGCTCTGATACTGGAGCCCAGAGCTGAACAGATTAAGAGAAAACATCATAGTGGGCTCTGCCGGAACACAGCAGCCGCTAGCCCAGACCTGGGCAGAGTTAAGCACTCTCTCTAATAGTTCGCTCTAGACTTTGGCAACCCCCCCGTGTCCACTACATTGTCCAGTACAGTAGCAAATCAACACAGGTAAGCGCTGTACTGCAAAACAACCCAAGCGTTTAGCCGCTGGGGAAGTAGGAGCTAGAATCTGGCTTCTCCTGGGAGGATCCAGAGAGCTCCTGAAACTCCAGGTACTCCATGTCGGACGTAAAAGCACATCCCCTTCACTGACTGTCATTGGACATGATAAATACGTATCACTTCCGAATTGCTAAAAGGGAGAGCTATTTCCCCCAGAATAGATAGAGAGTAGGATTCAGCCGTCTTTAGCATGGGTTTGGTTCTGAGGTCATTTTTGACTGTATAGGCTTGCTTCCAATTGGTCATCAAGACTGGATAGAAGTAGGTTAACGGAATAGTTTAACTTTAAATTAAAAAATAGAGCCTGGACAACTGAACCAGCAAGATGGCCCAGTTTGGTAAAGGTGCTTGGTGGGAAAAGGAAGCTGGCAACCTCGGCTTGATCCCCAGAGCCCAGGAAAAGCTGGAAGCCGAGAACTGTCTCCACAAAGTTGTCCCCTGACCTACATACACACAATACATTTTTTAAAAATTAAAGGAAAAGACTGGAGACCTGTGTTACTAGAGTTTGGTAAGGCAGTATGACTACCTAACAGCACTTTCTAGAAGAGAGAATGACCCTCCCTGGACATCGGTTTCCTTGATTGCAGAAAGGGCAGCTCACTAGATAGCGATAAGGGTCCTGACGGGTGTGACGCTGTAGAAGCAAGTGTCTCCCCAACTGTGCAGCAAATCTGGGCGGAATGCAGCACACTGCTGGGACAGCCTCCAAGAAGTGGCCGCTCCTGCTTAGCGTGTCTCTGCTCCGTGCCACACTTCCTCTGAGTGCCATAGTTGTCCACAGCCACGTGATGGTGCGTGTTTGCTTTTTGTTTATTGGAGATTAGGTCTCATTTCTCAAGCTGGATGCAAATTTGATGTGTGGCTGAAAACGACTTTGAATTTCTTTCCTTTTTTTTTTTTTTTTTTTTTTTTTTTTAATTTGATACAGGGTTTCCCTGTGTAACAGTCCTAGCTGTCCTGGAACTTACGCTGTAGACCACGCTAGCCTCAAACTCACAGAGATCTGCCTGCTTCTGCGTCCTTTCTGGGATTGAAGGCTTGCACCACCATGCTGGGTTGACTTTGAATTTCTAATACTTCCTCAATGAGCTCCAGAATGCTTGCACCCCCACATCGGCTCTACGCAGTGCTGGGGGCTGAACTCAAGGTTACTCTGGCTAGTTAAACACTACCAACTGAGCTGTATCTCCAGCTTCTGAGGAACCAGCTCAGGAGAGGCTGGCTTTGCCCAGTGTCTCTCAGGTGGCTATACTCTAGAGCCTCTGTGCTCCAGAGCTACACCACACCACTAAACATGGCCACAACTTTGGGTGACTGTCCAAACAGCCAGCTGTTTCTGTCATTTCTCGCATTTTTTGGAGGTCACTTAATATTCTTTCCTTCTCGTGTCTCTGAGGGAGTTGAAGTCTAGATAGTTATAGTTTTTCTTGTTTATGTGACTTGGAAAAGATACTCACTAAAGAAGTGTAAAGTGGCGTACACCTTTAACCCCAGCACTCGGGAGGCAGAGGCAAGTGGATCGCTGTGAGCTCGAGACCAGCCTGGTCTACAAGAGCTAGTTCTGGGACAGACTCCAGAGCCACAGAGAAACTCTGTCTCGAAAAACCAAAAAAAAAAAAAAAAAAAAAAAAAGAGGTGTAAAGTGTATATTGAAAGATAGTTTAAATTAGATACAAGTCTTTGAACTCACATAGATAGAACAGATAATGGAGTATTTAATCTGAATTTGTCAAATGCAAATGGGCTAGACATTGTTGATGTACTTATTGCCTGTATATATTGTATGTAGTTATTGTACTTATTGTATATAGTTTTTCTTATGTTAGTTATAGCCTTCTTTTTTTTTAGACAAAGGGGAAATATTTTATTTGTGTTTCAATAAACAAAGCTTGCAAGGAGTCTATGAACTAGAGGAAGTGAAGCATGACCCAGACGATATCTAACCAAGGCTGAAACCTACAGATAAAAAGAACTGACTACATTCAGAAAAAAGGAAATAGTTTCTATCTCAGAACACACAAAGCACTGTTGAAAAGCAGTATCTAAGCTAGATTTGCAAAGATGGATTCTGTCTGAAAATGCAGAAGCAGAGGAGAGGCAGCGTTCCAGGGTACAGTTGGCTAACTGATAACAACCAGGACCGAAGGCTCTGGCTCACTGTGGGAACAGTGGCCCAGGAGTACAAGTCAGTGAACTCTGGTCCCCAACTTCCCTGCTCCTACCCCACAGACACACTTCAGTTCCACCAACACCTGTGCACGTTTCCATGCTTCTGTGAATCTGCTTCTTGTCCCTTAGACAAAGTATCTTGCATGCCTGGCAAAATTCATTGCCTTCAAGTACCTTAGAGATGATCTCTTCTGGGCCATTCTCTGACACCTCTGTTGTATCACCATGACATTATTATCTGTCTGACCTGTCTCTGGAGACTTGTCTGCTTTCAGAATCAGCAGTGAAACTTTTGAAAAGACAGGAGAGGCGATCTTACAGAACTGCAGGACTTGACAAAGGGCAAGGGAGAGCTTGGGGTGAGACCAGGACTTAGCTGATGTTTATAAATGGGTGCCAGAAGGACTTACGGACTTCTGCTGAGTTAAACAGACACAAAACAAAGTATGAAGTGCTATTCCCACATGGTACACATCGGAAACCGGTCAGAGTATCAGATCAATAAATTAGACCAGTTTCCCTAAAACATGGTGTGTGTGTGTGTGTGTGTGTGTGTGTGTGTGTGTGTGTGTGTGTTCATTCTTATGATAGCTGCTGTATCCCAAGAGCTTGGAGAAATATTCTGGGTGCCTTATAGTGAAGTGAAATGAGCAATGGTTCTTGAAGATGTGCACAGTAAAACTAGCTACCATTTAGTCACAGTAACCCAGGAATTGGGGTGCACATATACTTCTTCATATGCCATAATTACAAGGAGGGTCTGCTGCTTGTAATAGTACACCAGACATGCAGACACGGGGACGGGGACATTCCAACTTCCCTTTGGTGACAGTTCTGTCCTGAGTGACACTGTTACCGACCTCCCACTCGTAGAGGATTGGGTCTAGAGAGGGCTGGGTGGTCTCAAATCATTGCAGCTGCATCCCCAGCCCCTGGAGAAACACAAACTTTGTCACATTTAGGGAATGCTACTGAGTCAAGGCAGGGACACTACCCAGTATCCTTTAGTGAACAAGACCATGAGTCCAGGGTTTTAATTTGTGCTGAGGGTACGAACCCATGGCCTGGTTGGTGACTTTCTCTCTCTGGAAGAAATGTTAGTTATTTCTGTTCTGAAGGAGCTGAACCTCTTTTTTTTTTCTCCTCAAGAAAGGGTTTCCTTTGGAGCCTGTCCTGGAACTAGCTCTTGTAGACCAGGCTGGTCTCGAACTCACAGAGATCCACCTGCCTCTGCCTCCCGAGTGCTGGGATTAAAGGCGTGCGCCACCACCGTCTGGCTGAACCTCTTCTTTCCTGCTGTCCATTCCCCTTCCCAGTCAGCTCATTGCTGACACACATGGCTGTCTCTTATAGACAGGGCTCAAAAAATACTCGGAGAGTGTTGTTGAAGGCAGCTCTTTACTTTGGTAGGTGTCTGATTATGGCTGACAGTGCTGCCTCAAACCTAGGATATATATCTTTTTGCACAGGTAAGTTTTTAAAATGGAATCCAGAAAGTGAACTACTGGGTCAAAGACCATACAGTTAAGTTTTTGTTAGATTTAAAACAACAACAAAAACTATTGAAACTGCAACCTTACCTCTAGGTGTGTGTTCCTGGAGAAACTCACACACACACACACACACACACACACACTAGTGAGGTTCTGAGCAGACTATAAAAACAGGGTTAGAAAACACTTGTCCATCAATAGAAGGATACACTCAGAATTGTGGAGAAAATGGACTACTTGGTGTGCCATGATGAATTTCTCAAAGGAAAACAATCTTCTGAAGTCTTGAAAATGCAGTCAGGCTACAGGAGATAGCTTTGTCTACTTACTTGATGGTTGATTTTGAGATAGATACATAATATGTTGTTATGTAGCCCAGAGCAATCTGTAGCTTGTTGCAACTCTCCTGCCTCACCCTCCTAATGCCGAGGTTACAAGAATGTAATCCCACATTGGGATGATGCTATTTTGTTTTATTTTTGAGACAGGATCTCACTATGTGCCCCTGACTGGCCTGGAATTCACAGAGATCTGCTTGCATCTGCCTCCAGAATTATGGGATCAAAGATGGGTACTGCCATACTTGGCTAGGATAGTTTTTCTTCTTAAAAATTTTTTATGCATTTTCTGCCTGCTTATATGTCTATGGGCCTTGGATCCCCTGGGACTGAAGTGACGGATGTTTACGAACTGCCATGTGAGTGCTGGGAATTGAACCCAGGTCCTCTGGAAGAGCAGCCAGTGCTCTTAACTTCTGAGCTGACTATCTCCAGTCCTCTTTGATACCATTATAAAGTTAAAACAAAACAAAAACTGTGGAGAAAGCTTAGGGATGGCTCTTCCAGAGGACCTAGTTCTGTGTCCAGCACACTGTTAGCAGCTCCCCTGTAACAGTTCTTGCTACACACACACACACACACACACACACACACACAAACTAAAAGGGCAGGGGGGTGTAGAGGTGGCTCAGTGGTTAAGATCATATACTATTATTTCAAGTGATCAAAGTTCAGTTCTCTGCATGCACTTAGGTAGCTCCCAACTGAGGGAGGGCGGGCTGAGGGCAGCACAGATGAGAACCATAATGCTTATTTTCTGTCTTCTGCATTCTTTCTGTATTTAAGCAACTTGAAGCCATTTGTGTCAAGGTGACATCTGGTGACACAAAAAGTAAAGAAAGGCCAGTGTCCCCTCTGGCTACAATCCAGCCCAAAACAAGACCAAGTCAGCCACCTGGGAGAAGCTCCAGCCTCGGGCTCTGTGTCTCCAGCCCTCAGCTGCACAGGGTGCAGGCCCTGGGGAGGACTGGGTCACAGCCGCACTTTCTCGGAGGTTCCCCTCAGCCCGAGCTTGTACAGAAGCTACTGGTACAGAAGCTATTGCCAGACCTCCAGCCAGTCCCTTTGAGGATAGTCAATGTAGGTACCAAGGTCTTTTTCCCTTCTTCCTGGGGCCGTGTGACCTCCGGCTCCCTGGAGATTCTGCACTAGCACTGGCTTGAGGGTATAGTTTACAAAGAACCTGGCTCTCTTTGTTATAGTGATTCCACCTGTAAACAAGGTTCTAGCAGTGGGCCCCATAGCCTGCCCCTCCCAGCTGATTCTGCCTGAGACGCTGGGGCCTGTAATCTCCTTCTCCTGCTCCTGATGGGAGGAGGCCTTGCCCTTTTGATCCCCCTTGCCCACTGGTATAAATACCCGACTTGAGTTTAATAAAGTGGCCATTTACTCTTTGGTAAGTGAGCAAGGTCTCTTTTGTGTGTGTCTATTTTCAACCCTCAGGACAATCGTCCATTCTCGTGGGTCCGAGTTCGGGAAAGCACGTGCCTGGATCGGGTGTGGGTATCCACAGAAAAGGCGGGGCCCTACAAGTCAAGGCCCCTCAGGCCGCAGATGGGCATGGTGTCACTCTGAGCCCTCTGGCAGCCTCTGGTACTCCTGCAGTAGCGCCTGTCTCTTCCAGTCCAGCATGTCTGTTCATTTCCAGCCTGCATACCGCACACACTGAGAAACTGAAGAAATCTTTAAAGGTGAAAACATGGTCTGGACGGATATCCCGGCCTCCCAAGTATAAAGCCAGAGATTATAAATTCATCAAAACGGAGGACTTAGCAGAGGGGCACCTGTCAGACTCAGAGCTGAGCATGGATGAGGAGGAAGAACAGAGGCAGAAGCCAGGGCTCTTTGACACTGTGGGCTGCGCCCTGAGGCCCAAGGCCTTTAAATGTCAGACTTGTGAGAAGTCATACATAGGAAGGGGGGGGACTAGCGAGGCATTTTAAACTCAATCCAGGCCATGGCCAGCTGAAGCCTGAGATGCTGCTCTCCAAGAAAATTAAGGGGAGCCTGACCCTGGGATGCATGGGCTCCCCAACACTGTCCACACCAGCTGTTCTATGCACATAAGAGGCAGAGTCAGCTTGGCGGATCCTGCAGATAACATTTCTGTCTGGTGATGGAGCCCTTATCTCTGCACTTTCCCCATCCTCCTTTAATTAAATCTTAACAGTGTCAGGTGGGAATTGGGACCCAAGTCCTGAGGGTCCCAGACACAACGTTGTTGTATGATCGGAACAAATGAGAGGTGTGTGTCTTTTGCCCACAGGCCTACTTGGTGAGAACACGTGGTGAACATGGTCATGCTCCTCTAGATCTTGTCTGTGTGACTATTCCTCGTGCACTCTCGGCTGGTACTCAGATGCCAGAGGCATGTGGGAAAGGTCAGGTTTGGGTCATAGTCCGCAGTGGGAAGAGGTGCCTGCTGCTGCGGCCTCTTTCCCACAGCAGGATGGGGGCTCCTAAAGCAGCTGAAGCTGGTAGGCAGCTTGATTAACATTAGTACCTTGGGGGCTGGTGGAGCCCTGGGACAGCCTTGTGACAGAATTAAAAATGTTATTTTGCCGGGCAGTGGTGGTGCACGCCTTTAATCCCAGCACTCAGGAAGCAGAGGCAGGTGGATCTCTGTGAGTTCAAATAAATAAATAATGCTCTCTTACCTTTAGCATTGGTGCCAACAATACAACTACCATTTATTTTATGCAGACATTGGACAGTCCAGTCTCGTTCTTCTCCTCCTCTGCTCTCTTTCTCTCTTTCTCTCCCTCTCTCTCCCTCTCTCCCCCCTCCCTCCCTCCACTCCTCTTCCCTTCCAGTTACTCTTAGTGATGATGACTGCTTTCAAGGACTTGTGCTTCTAGGTAGGTTCCCTGGCTCTGTACATTTCTTTCTTCCTTTCTTTTTTTTTTTTTTTGAGATCCACCTGCCTGTGATTAAAAGCTTTGCTGCTATGCCTAATCCTTCACATTTTCTTTCTTTTTTTTTAAATTGATTTATTATGTGTACAGTGTTTTGCCTACATGTATGCCTGCAAGCCAGAAGAGGACACCAGATCTCAATACAGATGGTTGTGAGTCACCATGTGGTTGCTCAGTACCTCTAGAAGAGTAGCCAGCGCTTGTGGCTACCAAGGTTTTTCCCTTCTCCTGGCGATTCGCAGGGCTGTGTGACCTCCGGCTTCCTGGAGACTCTGCACTAGCTCTGGCTTGAGGGGATAACTTAGCAAGAACCTGGTTCTCTTTGTTATGGTGATTCCACTTGTATTCAAGGTCTTAGCAGTGGGCCCATAGCCTGGCTCCCCAGCTGATCCTGCTCCAGGCGCTGGGGAAGCTTTAATCTTCTCCTTTTGCTCCTGGATGGGAGGAGGCCTTGCATTTTCGATCCTTCTAGCCCACTGGTATAAATACCCGACTTGAGTTTAATAAAGTTGCCATTTACTCTGGTAAATGAGCAAAGGTCTCTTTTGTGTGTGTCTCTTTTTCAACCCTCAGGACAATCGTCCATTCTTGTGGGCCCGAGTTCGGGGAAAGCGCGCAGCCTGAACCGGGTGTGGGTATCCATTGGAAAGTGCAGACTCTTACAAGCGCTCTTAACCTCTAGGCCATCTCTCCAACCCCCTTGTTTTGTTTTTCAAGACAGGGTATTCTCAGGCTGTCCTGGAACTCTCTCTGTAGACCAGGCTGGCTAACTTTGAACTCACAGAGAACTGCCTGTGTCTGCATCCTGAGTACTGGAATTAAAGGTGTGTGCCATCATTGCCCAGCCCCTGTACATTTTCTTACTGATCACTCCTACTTGAGGTGCCTCAAGGAGGCCCAGAAGGGTGACTGATCAAACCCAGGTTCAGAACTTCTAGATCTCAGTTTAAAGTGGAGTCAGGCCAAGTCTTCTGACTTCAAAGCCTACACTGTAGACCAGGGTTCTGTGCCTTTCATAGATGGAAAATTCCAACCTTATTATTTTTCTAATTGTGTGTGTGTGTGTGTGTGTGTGTGTGTGTGCGCGTGCGTGTGCATGTATGTGTCATCTGATACGGATCCTGGGAACAAACTCAGGTCTGGTGGCTGTGTGTGCTCTTAACCACTGAGCTATTTCTCCAGCCCTGGAAAACTTAAGCTTTTGAAAAGCTTTTCTGAGCTAAGTGGTGGCATATACCTTTAATCCCAGCGCTTGGGAGGCAGAGGGAGGTAGATCTCTGTAAATTCAAGGACAACCTGGTCTACGCAGAACTAGTTCCAGGACAGGCTTCAAAGCAACAGAGAAGCCCTGTCTCGAAAAACAAACAAAAAACAGAACAAAAAGGCCATTCTGTTTCTCAGGCTGTCCTGGGGCCAGGGTGGTATTGGAGAGCAGAAGGTACCTCCCCTAAATACCAAGGATTATTGAACTGAAGACAGAAGCAGTGTGTGCCAGGTGGTCTCTGTCTCCATCTACTTATGAAGGCAAAAGGCATCCTGCCCTTTCTCAGCCAGCGAGAGCGGAGGCCAACCCCTGAAGACAGCTGTAGATTGTCTGCCTGGAGACTCTGAACAAACTCTACTAACCAACCCGAATCTGGAAATAAAGGACGGAAGAGAAGGAAGAAGAGGAAGAAGAAGGAGAAGAGGAAACATATGCTCTTCTTTGAGTTAGGTCTTGTAAAGGGGCAAGCCCAGTTGAACGACATGTGCTCAGCTAGTGGGATCTGCACTGGTGTTGGGAATTCTGGAAGGCTAAGCTGATTTATCTTCCTGGGCATGGCCTCCGAGCCAAGTTCCCAATTTACTTTGTTACAATGTTTCCACCTAGTGGCTTCCTTCTTTTAATTAATTTTGTTTTACGTGTTATGGGTGTTTTCTTGCATGTATGTCTGTGCACCATGTGTGTGCATTTTGTCCTTCGAGGCCAGAAGAGGCTGTTGGATCCCTGGAACTGGAGTTACAGATGGTTGTGAGTAACCATGTGGATGCTGGGATTAGAGCCCTGATCTCCAGAAGAACAAACGGCTCTGTTGACCCAAGTCATCCCTCCCTCCCCATGGATTCTATTTTTTTTTTGTAGTTGTTTTATTCTGCTTTTTGGAGACAGGATCTCACTATGTAGCTCTGACTGTCCTAGAACTCACTACATAACCAGACTGACCTTGAACTCACAGAGATTATGACCTCTGCCTCCTGGGTGTTCAGAAAGTTAAAAATGTGCCATTAAGGTTTAAGAGTGTTAACTAAAGAAAAATAGTGTAGGAAGTTTTTTGTAATTGACTGGACATTTTACTACTTTAAGGTTTTCATGATGGCATATAATGCATGATTTTTCAAAATCTCATTTTGTTTTATTTTTGGGTATGCAATACTATCTAGAATGGTCAGCCTGAAGAAGTTGAAGAGACAATGGTACCTGAGCCAGAAATTAGAAGCCCCTCGGCTCTTCTGAGACCAGAAAAATGCCTAAAACCTAGGAATGGAAGTTGGGCAAGCCAGGCAGAGTTCGGCACAGCAGAGCAGAGCAGAGCTGTCCAGCCAAACAGTCACCCTGCTGCATCATCAGGACTGAGTCTCTCCAGGGGAGTGCAGCTCCGGGAGGTAATTTGCTATGATACAGAGTACTTAAGCTTGCGCCTGGTGCACTATGGAACAGCTTCCTACTCCCTTCTCTCTGTTTCTTGTTTGTTTGGAGACAGGGTCACAATGTGTAGATTTCTGCTAGCCTTGATCTTATAGTCTTCTTGCTTCAGTCTCCTGAGTACTAGCGGTATAGGCCTGGGCTACCATCCCTGGCTCAAGGTCATATTTCTGAAGTTAAAAGTAAAACACCAACATCCTAGCCTTGTGTAGTGGTGCACACTGGAAATACTCAGGAGGTGTAACTGGACATTTCTCTCCCTCTTGTCAGTTCCCAAATAACCACTCTATGCTTAATATCAACTACAAACTGTTTTTACTATTGACTCAGCCTTATTACTGACTAGCTTTTACATATTAACCCATTTCTATTAATCTATGTATTGCCACATGGCCATAGTCTTCCCTCACATTTTGCTTCTCCAGCGGCTTCTGGCATCTCCCTGACTCCACACTTTTTCTCCCTTTATCTCAGTTTGCATTTCCTGCGTGGCTCTATTCTCCTGGCTATTGGCCAAATCAGATTCTTTATTAACCAATGATAATAAAACATATTCAAAGCACACAGAGAGACATCTCCCATCAGGGAGGCTGAGGCAAGAGGGTTGAGAGTTCCAGGCCATGGAGCTAGAGAGCTGGCTCAGTGGTTAAGACTTGGGTTTCTAGAAAATGGTTTTCCTAGAACATGTCTTAGACATAGTGTGGTGTTACAGCTTGAAGCTTTGCTCCATTCCATTTGTGTCATGACAACCTTGAATGATTGACTGTTGAGACTTGAAGTAGAACCTTTGGAATTAGTGGTTGGCATTAGAACTGCACCATTTACAGAGCATTTCAGCTCCACTCCTTCCCAGGTTTCTGCTGAGCACCGAGTCAGCCTCCTTTCATTTATTTCACAGTGGTCTCCCACCTTAACAGATGCTCAGCAGAAGCCCGGAAAGCAAGTTGCTCAGGTGACTTCAGGCAGGAGGCGGGGCCAGAACTTGAGTCCAGATTACTTGGTGCCAGGGGCAGTGAGGCTGTCTGAGGCTGTGCATAGATGGTGGCCGTGGGACTGTCTTCCTGACAACACCCTCTCTTCCTCCAGTCGAGTGACTGTGAGCAGGGGCACTGTGATTCTTAGATGAGAGCCCCCACCCCAGAAGTTCACATTATTTATATATGATCTGTACCCATGACGTCTGACCAGCTCTGGTTGTGGAGGGCAGTGTGAACAAACTGGGCATAGCTGCCACTCGGACAGGAAGTGGGGGGCGGCAGCCAAACCTGTGGGTTGACAAACTGTTAGGTGGATGTTCTCCCTGAGCTAACACTAGAGGTGACTGCTATCAAAAACTTGCCCAGAGTTTAAGTCATGGCAAGGTGACACCTTATAAACCAGCTTTCCTGTGCATCCACAGAGCTGAAACCACAGGTTGCTCTTCCTTAGAGTTTTTGAAAGTTGAAGTTAAACTGATTTATTTAGTGCATGCGTGTGTGCTCCATGCCTGCACTTATTACATGCAACTGTGGAGACCAACTTTGCAGAGTTGGCTCTCTCCTTCACCTTTCATCTCAGTTCTGGGGGTGGAATTCATGCACCAGGTTTGCGCAGCTGAGCTATCCTGCAGGCCCAATAAGCTTTTTCTTTAGCTTTTCTGGTCCTCTTAGGTTTTGGCAGCTCCTGGTTACTCTCTTTAAGCCTGGGCCTCATGGCCTCCCTGCACCTCAGCACTTGGTGTTTGCACCTCCTGATTAGACCTCTCTCTGGGGCATCGTGTCCCTCATCAGAGAACTCGCCAGAGGCTGGGCATGTGGTGCACACCTTTAATCTCAGGACTTGAGGCAAAGCAGGCAGATCTCTGGGACCTCAGCCAAGGCTGCAGAGTGAAATACTTTCTCCAACCAAACAACCCCCAAAACCAATCCTCCCCAAGACCAATCCCTCCAAAGAGAAAACTCTGTACCGGGGTGGCCTGTGTACTACCCCATCTTCCCTATTGGGAGAGTGTTCAGCTGGTACCCTGTCTAGCCCTGGGGTACAGAGGACCACCAGTGTCAGGCTAGAAGCCTTCTTATTTCTCTTCCCTTTCTCCTCCTTCCCTTCCTCTTTCCTGTTTTTGTTCAGTGTTTTGAGACATTATTCACTCTGTAGCCCAGGCTGGCTTCAAACTTCCATTATGGAGCCCAGGCTGGCCCTGACAGTCTTTCTACCTCAAACTTTCCAAGTGTTGAGATTATAGGTTAAACCACCACCCTGGTTCTGCCTCTTCTCCCTGCCCCACAACCAGCCCACCCCACTCCACCTTCCTCTTGGACCTGATAAGCTCTCTCCCTGCCCCTTCTGCCACACCTTTGTTAGCCAGTCCTCACCTCCTTGCTTTTATGCTAGTGTTTCCACCTGCTGCCGTGCCCCCTGCAGACCCGCACCCTTCTTTCCTTATACCACCACCTGCCCAGGTACTATGATGCATCCTGTATTCCCCAGAGGCCTGAGGCAAGAGGTCCATTTGAGGCTGGACCTTGAGAATAACTTAGACAACATAGCAATACCCCACCTCTAACAAAGCATAACCTCCTTCCAAATGCCACCATTGGAAGGAATCCAACTCTTTGGTCTTCTCCCAGCCTAACCTGGGCTGCTTTTCCAACCTCCTGCCTGCCTGCCAGTCCCTGGGTGCTGTCTGCCGCTGTGTGACTCTCCTCTGCACCCGAGTCCTGGACTCGTAGTTAGCTGCTACTCTGGGGCACCGTATCTGAAGCTAGAACTGACCACGGTGTTCTGTCGGACAACAGCATGAAGCTGCGTAAGCTGGATCCTGGGGGGTCTTTCTGCCCAAGTCACACCAACTCCAGTTGAAGGTGGCCAACTCTTCGTTTTGGCAGGCTCTCCAGCAGTGTGGCCGAGAGGGGCTGGTGGAGTTGGTCCTGCCCCAGCTGGCTCAGGTGGTGACCCTGTATGAACTTCTTGCAGGGAAGGTAAGTGGCTGTCGTATGTCAGGTCACAGGGTTAGTTGAGTATACCGTGAGTTGACCTCCCTATTTACTTTAGAACACACCAGGCCATTTGGAATAATTTATTTTCCTTCCCTAGGACAGAGCTAGAGAGCTCCGGAGCCCAGAGCCTGCCTGTGTGGGTGTCTCAGTAAGCCCCTGTCGCTCTCTTGACTATTTTAACTTTGCGTAGGGAGATAGAGTAGGTGTGGAAAACTGTGGTGGCCTTAGGAGGTGGGAATGTGCCCCTGAGGAGCTAACGGTGCCTTTTTGTCAACTGTATGCTTCCTGTGGGGTCACCCTAGTCCCAGAGTTTGTGGCCTTCACCCTCAGGGTTTGTTTTCTGGCATCCTACCCCCGATCTGGCCTCTCAGCTGAGCTTGGTGGTGGCATACATAGTAGGCACCACCAGGAAGTGAAGGAAACGCTGGCCACTGCCCTCTTGCGGGGGTGAGGACCTCAGCTCCAGGTTTATATTCTGCTTTCCGTGTCATTGCCTCGGTTTACACGCTGCTCATCTTCACCCTCACAAAGGTTGAGAGACGCCCTGGAGCGAAGCCTTTCTTTCCTGCTGTGTACAAGGAGTTTGAAGAGTTACATGACGTGATGAAGAGAATGTGCCAGGATGACCTCAGCAGCTCTGACCTGTGTCCTCAGGAGCCCCTGGAGATAAACAATGATGAGGTGCCATCTTGAGGGGCAAAGCATTGCTCTTAGTTAGCCGAAGGAAGGAGTCTGAACAAGGAAAGGTGTTGCTAGTAAGACATCTTCATATTAGCCACTGTGTGGCCTTGGCCTGGCAAGTGAAGTTTTGTTTTATTAATATAAGTGCTATATACCCTTGTTCCAGAAAACTGAAAATTATAATAGTTCAAAGAAAATTGAGAACGATACAGGGCTAACTCTTTTTCTTTTTCTTTACCTTTTTCTTTCTTCCTTTTTTTCTTTCTTTCTTTCTTTTTTTTTTGGTTTTTCAAGACAAGGTTTCTCTGTGTAGTCCTGGCTGTCCTGGAACTTGCTCTGAAGACCAGGCTGGCCTAGAACTCACTGAGATCCACCTGCCTCTGCCTCTCAAGTGCTGGGATTAAAGGTGTGTGCCACTGCTACCAGCTTCTTTCTTTCTTTCTCTCTCTCTTTCTTTCTTTTTCTTTCTTTCTTCCTAAATAACCTTTTTATTAGATTTATTTTACTTTATGTGTATGAGTGTTTTGCTTACATCAGTGTCTGTGCTGCATGTTTGTACCTCGTACCCAGGGAGTACAGAAGAGGGTGTTGTATCCATTAAGACTAGAGTTACAGGTAGTTGCTAGCCATCAGGTGGGTGTTGGGAAGGCCCCCGGGCCTCGGCCAGGGCAGCAGGTACCTATGCTCTCTCTGTGGCCTGGCTTCCTGTACGTTACAGGGCTAGTGGTTATGTCTGTGGCTATTCTGACACAATTCTTACTTCATTACCCAGCTGCCTTTGGCTAGGTTGAGCTCTTTTCAAAACATTAGTTTGGAGCTAATAGGGTTTGGCTTGTTTTGGACTTCCTTTGGAACTCAGCTCTGGCGCGCTGTATGTGAAACAAGCCCCCTCACCAACCCTGACACACCTGCGCCCTCCCCTGGGTCTCAGAGTCCTCTGCTCAGAAGACTTAAGTGATACTTTCTGACTTTCTGGCTCTCACACTGCTGCCAAGGATTAACATAGTCTCCGTTATGTAAAAATCAGTTACACATGTAGCGTGAATGCTTGGAAAGGCAGTATAGAGGCCTGAAGAGGTGGCTCAGAAGGTAAGGGACTTCTTGTTCTTGCAGAGGACTCAGGTTCAATTCCTAGAACTCACATGGTGGCTCACAACCATCTGTAATTCTAGTTCCAGGGGATCCTATACCTTTTTCTGACCTCCATGGGCAACAGTCATGCACATGGTGCATATGTTAGCGAAACACTCATATACTTAAAATAAATAAGTCTTGAAAAGAAAAAAAAAGACCTTGTGGCCTCACGCTGCGTTTCCTTCCTACTAACCTGATAGAGCTGCCTGTCTGCAGTGAGTAGGTGCTGATATGATACTGATTTCCATGGCAAGCTACCTCAGTCTGTACTGTAATAGGGTGTCTTAGTTACCTTTATATTACTGTGATAAAACACTATGATCAAGGCAACTTATTTTAAAGAAAGCATTTGGCTGGGTGGTTGTGGCACATGCCTTTAATCCCAGCACCCAGGAGGCAGAGGCCTGCAAATCTCCGTGAGTTACAGGACAGCCAGGGCTACACAGAGAAACCCTGTCTCAAAAAACAAAACAATAAAAATAAATAAATAAAAAGTAAAAAAAAAAGGCATTTAATTGGCTGTGGTTTCAGAGAGTAGAGCCCATGATGGTGGAGCAAAGGCATGGAAGCTGGAATGCCGTAGGGCTCACATCTGGATCTGCAGCAAGAAGCAGAGAGGACACTGAGAAAGGCATGATCTTTTTAAATTTCAAGCCCATCCCCAATGACGCAGCTCCTCCAACAAGACTACACCCCCTAGTCCTTCTCAGACAGTTCTAGCAACAGGAACTAAGCAGTCAATCATGAGCCCATGGAGCCATTCTCATTCAGACCACAGCAGTTGGTGTGTGCTGGTCTGAGGATTTTTGGTGGTTGGGGGAGATGTTATTGGTCACCATTGAGAGTCTGGAATTTTTTATGTCGAGAAGGATGATCTTGGATGCTAAAAAGTTATTTTTATGTCTGGGTGTTCTGTCTACACAAATTAGGGCTTTGATTGAGATGATAGCCCTGTGACCAACACTCGGGAGAAAAGGGTTTATTTCAGTTTAGAACTCACATCCCACCCCTGAGGAAAGTCAGACCAGGAAACTAGAGGCAGGAACTGAAGTAGAGGCTATGATGGGGTGCTGCTTATTGGCTCGCTACCCATTGATTGCTCAGCCTGTTTTTTTTTAAAATTTATTTTTTTAAAAGAAAACAAACTATCTTTTTTCATATTACATACCAATCCCAGTTCCCACTTCCTCCCCTCCTCCCATCCCCTCCATCTACTCCCCTACCCCACCCCCTTATCCATTCCTCAGAAAGGGTAAGGCACATTGCTTTGGGGAAGGTCCGAGGCCCTCCCTATTATATCTAGGCTGAGCACGGTATCCATTTAAAGAGAATAGATTCCCAAAAAGCCAGTACAAGCAGTAGGGATGAATCCTGGTGTCACTATCAGTGGCCCCGCAGTCTGCCCCAGCCATGCAACTGTCATCCACATTCAGAGGGACTAGTTTAGACCTATGTTGGTTCCTTCCCCATCCGGCTGGAGTTGGTAAGCTCCCATTAGCTCAAGTAGACTGTTTCAGTGGGTGAACCCATTGTAACATGAGGGCAGGCTTGTTGGGGTTTCCGTCCCACCTGGTACCCCACAACCGGCAAATCCCAAAGAGAAATCACACACAGGACTCCATAAGGTTATAAACTGATTGGCCCATTAGGTCAGGCTTCTTGTTAACTCTTATAACTTATGTTACCCCATTATCCTTATCTACATTAGCCACATGGCTCCGTACCTTTCTCAGCTGGGCAAGTTACATGCTGCCTCTTCGGTGGTCTGCGCAGGAGTGGCGGAGGGAGCTTCTGCTTCCAGAATACTCCCAGTCTCTTTGCTCCACCCCTACTTCCTGTCTGGCTTTCCTGCCTATACTACCTGCCTGGCCAATCAGCGTTTTATTAAAATATGATTGACAGAATACAGATAATTCTCCCACACCAACCCATCATGGTCTTGACCTCTTTGTTTATATTCTCACTCCTCCCACTCTTCAACTGGACTTTGGGAGCTCAGTCTAGCGCTCCACTGTAGGTGTCTGCCTCTGTTTCCATCTGTTGCTGGATGAAGGTTCTATGGTGATATTTAAGATGTTCATCAGTCTGACTGCAGGGCAAGGTCAGTTAGGACACCCTCTCCTCTATTGCTTAGCTGGGGTTATTCTTATGGATTCCTGGGAATTTCTTTAGTGCCAGGTTTCTTGCTAGACCCATAATGACTCCCTCAATAAAGATATCTTTTTCTCTGCTCTCATCTCTGTCCTTCCTTCATCTCGACTATCCTGTTCCCTCAAGTTCTTCTACCCTTTCCTCTTCTTCCCTCCTCTTCCCCTTCTACCCTCTCTTCTCCCCCACCCCCATGCTCCCAATTTTATCAGGCGATCTTGTCTATTTCCCCCTTTCAGGGGGATCTATGTATGTTTTTCGTAGGGTTTACCTTGTTACTTAGCTTCTCTAGGATCATGAACTATATCCTTTGCTTTATAGCTAGTATCTACTTAGAGTGAGTATATACCATGTTCATCTTTCTGGGTCTGGGTTACCTCACTCAGGATGGTTTTTTCTAGTTCCATTCATTTGTATGCAAATTTCAAGATGTCCTTGTTTTTTACCACTGAGTAGCTGAACAGTACTCTAATGTGTAAATGCCACATTTCTTTTATTCATTTTTGGGTTGAGGGGCATCTAGGTTGTTTCCAGTTTCTGGCTATTACAAATAATGATGCTATGAACATAGATGAACAAATGTTCTTGTAGTATGATTGAGCATCTTTTGTGTATTTGCTCAAGAATGGTATTGCTGGGTCCTGAGGTAGGTTGATTCCCAATTTTCTGAGAAACCGCTGTACTGATTTCCAGAGTGGTTGTACAAGTTTGCATTCCCACCAGCAATGGAGGAGTGTTCCTCTTATTCCACATCCTCTCCAGCATAAGCTGTCATTGGTGTTTTTGATCTTAGCTGGTATCTTAGCATTCTGACTGGTATAAAATGATATCTCAGAGTTGTTTTGATTTGCATTTCCCTGATGGCTAAGGATGTTGAACATTTTCTTAAGTGTCTTTCAGCCATTTGAGATTCTTTTGTTGAGAATTCTGTTTAGTTCTATACCCCATTTTAATTGGGTTATTTGTAATTTTGAAATCTAATTTCTTGGGTTCTTTATATATTTTGAAGATCAGTCCTTTGTCTGATGTGGGTTGGTGAAGATCTTTTCCCATTCAGTAGGTTGCCTTTTTGTCTTATTGCCTGTGTCCTTTGCTTTACAGAAGATCCTCAGTTTTAGGAGGTCCCATTTATTTATTGTTGCTCTCAGTGCCTGTGCTACTGGTGTTATATTTAGAAAGTGGTCTCACGTGCCCATGCATTGAAGGCTACTTCCCACTTTCTCTTCTATCAGGTTCAGTGTGGTAGGATTTATAATGAGGTCTTTAATCCATTTGGACTTGAGTTTTGTGCATGGTGATAGATATGGATCTATTTTCATTCTTCAGCATGCTGACACCCAGTTATGCCAGCACCATTTGTTTCTTTTTTCCATTGTATAATTTTAGCTTTTTTGTCAAAAGTCTCATGTTCATAGGTGTGTGGATGAATACCTGGGTCTTCGATTCAATTCCATTGGTCAGCCTGTCTGTTTTTATGCCAATACCAAGCTGTTTTCATTACTGTAGTTCTATAATGAAGCTTGATGTCAGAGATGGTGAGGCTTCTGGAAATTCTCTTGTACAGGATTGTTTTGGCTATCCTGGATTGTTCTGTTTTTTCCATATGAACTTGATTATTGTCCTTTTAAGGTCTGTGAAAAATTGTGCTGGGATTTTAATGGGGATTGCATTGAATCTATAAATTGATAGATCTTTCTGTTTTCTGGTTTCTTTCTTTCTTTCTTTCTTTCTTTCTTTCTTTCTTTCTTTCTTTCTTTTTCACTTTCTTTCTTCAAAGACTTAAAGTTCTTATCGAACAGGTCTTTCACTTCTTTGGTTAGTGTTACCCCAAGGTATTTTATGTTGTTTGTGGCTATTGTGAAGGGTGATGTTTCTCTGATTACTCCCTCAGCTTCTTTATCATTTATATATATCAGCCTGCTTTTTTTTTCTTTGTGTAGTACTTATTTATTTGGGAGGGTACATAAGTGTGAAGGTTAGAAGACAAACTGCTGGGAGTGTTTCTCTCTCTATCATGTAGGTAGGTTCCAGGATCATACTCAGGTCTTCAGGACTGGTGGCAATCACCTTTTATCCACGGAGCCATCTTGCTGTCCCATAGAGGTGGCAGGCACACATCTGTGCTCACAGTCTATGTGGTACAATATATCAGCCTGCTTTCTTAAACCATCCAGGTCAATGTTCCCAGTAATCTGGGCTCTCCCACATTAACCTTTAATCAGGAAAATTCCCCACAGTCTTGCCTACAGGTTAATTTTTGTTTGTTTGTTTGTTTTTTGGTTTTTCAAGACCTCATTTCTTTGTAGGGTTTGTTTTTTGAGACCAGTTTCTCTGTAGCTTTGGAGCCTGTCCTGTAAGTAGCTCTTGTAGACCAGGCTGGCCTTGAACTCACAGAGATCCGCCTGCCTCTGCCTCCCAAGTGCTGGGATTAAAGGCGTGCACCACCACCACCATTGCCTACAGGTTAATTTTATGGAGACATTTTCTCAATTAAAATTAGTTCTTCCTGGATATGTCTAGGTTTGTATCACATTGCCACAGAAACCAACCAGCACAATGTATGTCTGTGTACTGTGTGGGTGCCTGATGCCTCAAGAGGACACCAGGTCTCCTGGGTCTGGAGTTGTACATTCTTACCTGCCATACGGGTGCTGGGAATTGAACCCAGGTCCTCTTGAAGAGCAACAGATAGTCTTAACTACTGAGCCTTCTCTTCAGCCTCAACCTTGACATTTTGATTTTCTTGCCTCCACCTCCTGGGTGCTGAGATTATCAGTATTTACCACTGTGTCCCAGGTATGCTGTACTGGGGATTAAACTCAGCCTAGTGCATGGGAGGCAAGCACTATACCAAGTTAGTTACATTCCAAGCCTCTGAATATATTCTTAACAAGGCTTTGGATTTTATTTTTTTAATTATGCATTATAAACATAATGGATTATTTTGCAAAGCCTTTTGCAGATTCCCCATATATGACAATAGTCACCCATGTTGTGATTCATTTTTATTTTATGTGTGCTTTAGAGTAGTGGCTGTGACTTTATAAGGGGACACTATTTAGCTTGGGCAGTGCTATACTTACGTAGCCCAATTTTCTGCATTAGTCATGTTCTGCTGTCCTTCCTACTGATCCTCACCCTGTCTTACACCTACAGTTGTTCTCTTTTTTGTTTGTTTGTTTGTTTGTTTATTATGTATACAACATTCTGCCTCCATGTATGCCTGCACGCCAAAAGAGGGCGCCAGATATTAAAGATGGTTGTGAGCCACCATGTGGTTGCTGGGAATTGAACTCAGGACCTCTAGAAGAGCAGCCAGTGCTCTTAACCACCGAGCCATATCCCCAGCCCCCCAGTTGTTCTCTTTTTAAAGCCTAGTGTAAAGGACATTAGCTGTCTCTACACCTTTACATTTGCTAGATATACATGCATATATATGTGTACACATATATGCTTTGTAGATAGAAGACATACTGAGCTTCACAAAGACTTTGTAAGGCACCTGAAACTTAGGTATCCAGATGAGGGGGCATAAGGAGTTAGATGAGGGAGAAAAAGATCCCTAAGATTGATTTTTTTCAAGACAGGGTTTCTCTGTAGATTTGGAGCCTGTTCTGGAACTTGCTCTGTAGATCAGGCTGGCCTCAAACTCACAGAGATCCGCCTGTCCTTGTCTCCCAAGTGCTGGGATTAAAGGCGTTAACCATCACCATCTGACCAGAATTGAAACAGAAAGTAAAAAGAGGAACAATTGGCAGGAAAGGAACCTTGGTTGCCTTAGCATTAGTAAGGTAGGCACTGAGGAAGAGAGGTTCAAGTCCACCCCCACCGACAGATCCTGTGAGCTTTGGTGAGGCTGGGTTCCACCCTTAGCTGCTCCGTGCACCTTTGCATCTGTCGCCTTTCTCCTTGTTAACTGCACCTCACTGTACAAAGGAACCGCTTGGATTTCTACTCAGGTGTAGACAGGAATTGACACACTTGGCACACTGTCTGCTCTAAGCAGAGTTTATTTCTCCTGTTTCCCCTAAGGTTGCTAGGTTACTAAGAATCACAGAATACCTGAGGAAGAAAGATACACACCCAAGCAGTGCACCTGAGTGCTCCAGCCAAGAGATGAAAGGACAGTTGCAGGACACCAGTGGACAGAAGAGGGGGAGGGAGCAGGCTGTGGTGGTAAGTGGTGCAGAGCTGACGTCTGTGTAGACGTTGGTTAATGGCTGACCTTTCAGTCACAGCTCCTCGGCCTCTCTAGGCCATTCCGGGAAGGTGCAGCTGTGCTTCTGCTCCCTCCCTAGGCCTCAGGGGAGGGGCTGGCCACAGTGAAGAAGGCCCGAACAGCAGCTCTGCCCACAGATGTCCCTGAGTGTCCTGCTGCCATCAGTGGATGTCAGCAGACGCCTGGGTCCTCACACGCTCCAGCCAGCAAGGGTAAATCACATGTTTTGTGGGTTGTCCCATGCTCAGTGGTCCTACTAGCAGGCACAGAGGTACCCAAGTCCATCACTTTAGGGGCTGGGGATCCCTTCAGCCCGATTTGAGAGAACCCTCAGGTCTCTTGGATTTTGTCTCTAGCTTCCAATACTTTATTGTTCCATGTTGATGCTCATGTCATGAGGTGTTGGGGTCTCCTAGAGTCCTTTATTAACTAAGAGTTACTCCATAGTGGTGTCTCAGGCTAGTAGACCCCAGCTGGTCTGCTAGGTTGGGCAGAGTTAGGTTTCAAGGACACATGTATCAGTGGCTTAGCATCTGAGACATGGCTGCACCGAACATGTGAGACTTAACACTTGAAAAGAAGACATTTTTTGCTTTAGTTCTGGCTGTAACCAGACCCTCTACTAGGTACTTTGAACATACAACATTGCCAATACTCACATGTCTTTACAAAGACTCACCAGCACTGTCTGATTTCTGGCCTGATGCTAGGGTCTGCAGTGGAAGAGGCCTTGCCCATTTTAGAACGTCTATGCAGCTCTACCCTAGGGGAAGGCAGTTGTGTTGGGTGGGAACAGTGACCCCTCTGGCACCAGTGTGCAGCACCACCCTCCTTAGTCACCTTTCTTTTTTAGCTTCTGTATTTTGGAGTTCAGTGATCCCTCTCACAGTTCACGTCCTCTCAGCAAATGGTCCTTCAGGGTCTGCCTATGTTCTACATTCCTGGGGCCCGGTGACAGGATCCTTGACCTTGAGACAAAGTTCTTAGCTGTTCCAGATGGATAGGTCATCTGGAAATACCTTTCAGCTTTTCCAGGGGTGGGGTTGGGCTGGGGGTTGTCATGGATCTGTTTTGAAAGGCCCCTCTTACCCTTGAGCTCCCCTCCAGAAACCCGCTCCTCTTTCATTCATTGAAGTCAGCCTGCTAAACTCTTCTAAACACAAAGATTTTTAATACAAAATCTACCTTTCTAAGTAAATACAGTAGCCAATAAAAAGCCTGCTGCCCAGCCCAAGTAGCAAAGAGAATCTGCATTGCTGCTTCTTTGAAGGAAGGTCATTTGGACCAGCTCATCGTGGTGACGAGTGAGTGACTGCTGTTTTTCCTAACTATTCAGGTTCTGCCTCTGCAGCCACTGAGAACCCTTCTCCCTGCTCTGAGGGAAGCTGTGGGGAAATGGTCCCTGCTAGTGATGGAAGTGTGCCACCTGTGGGCCAGCAGCTGTCGGTGATGACATCTGCTAACTTGGAAGCCAGGAGTGTCTCTGCAGATCCTGCTCTTCTGTGTCAGGATGTCAGTAGGTCAGCTCTTTATTCCCAGGTAGCAGAGCCTAGAGGGCTGCCCCCAGCCCAGTTGTCAATGTTTCCTGAAGAGAATGCTCCAGAACACACTGCAAAGCAGGATTCTGAGGCCATCCAAAGAAGCAACGGTGTCTGTGGTACCCCATCATCAGGTGAAGGAGCGGAGTCTCTGCTTCTTGAAGAATCAGGAAACGCAGAGGCAGGAGACCTCAGAGAAATGAGCCAACCCCACCTCAGTAGGCAGCAGGGCAGCCCCAGCCATGCCCTGCCTACAAAGGATGCAGCCTTCTGACTCCAGAAAACCTTGCCTATGAATGTCCTGTCAGCTGCTCGTGTTTCTAAGACTATGCCCGTGCCAGGGCCTCAACCTGGACCAGATGGATCACTGCCCACTAATGGGGGTCCCAGTGTTGGAAGCGAAGCTGGGAATGTAAGCTGGTTCCTCTCTAGGATGGAGGCAGATGGCCGGAGAGAGCTGGAGACTGTGGCTGCTGTGGGGGAAGCCCTGGCTTTTGAGATTTCCGATCTATGCCAGGAAGTAGTGTCTCAGGGACAGGAGCAGGTTTCTACTTGGACTTCCAATGGGCTTACTTTGTCCCGTCCAAGTACTTCAGTGTCTCAGAAGAGAATGCTGTCATAGTGACTAACACAAGGGGTTCTATCTTGAGGTTTGACCCGCCGGAAGGGGTTGCTTTGGAAGCCATAGAGGCCTTCCACACTGTGGAGGCAGAGCCCTCTCAGTGACCAAGAGTCAGGTGTGTGTGTGTAGGCACTCTTAGGAGAGACCAGGAACACTTGAGATAATGCTGCAGGGCAGAGCTGGGGATCATGGCTGTACCTCGTGCAGGTCCTTGCGTAAACATGACTGCTATTCCCACAGCCCTTGCAACATCCCAGGCACTTCCTGTTTTCTCAACAGATCTCAGGGCATATCGTAGGGATAAACAGGCAGGTTTCCTAGTAGGAACTGGGGGCATCCAAGTGGCTTAGGCAGAGCTGTGTCCTGTGGACTGGGCCACTTCTCAAAAGCCCAGAGCTTCTCCACTATCTAAATTATTAATCTGCATTTGGAGTATGTGGACATTTATTATAGTATCTTCAATACTTTCTGATTTGCCTGGAAATGCTTTATAAAAACAAATTTAAAAAGACAGCACCAACCCCTTTTTCTCAAGGTATTCACCATGAATTCATCTTCAAACCCTCTCAACCCAGTTCGGGTAAATTCCAAGCTTTTTATTTCCTCTCTGTTAATTGGGCAGGATTTGGGATTGTAGAAGACATATTTGCGTGACTCACTACTGTGTTCACCTTGATGTGCTATATTGACCTCTGATGACATCCTTGTTCTGTTCCGATACAGTACTCTGCAGAATCAATATTGTGTTTATCTTTAGTTCCTTTATTTCTGCCTGGCCTTGGCAGTATTGATCTTTCCATTAGCTCTTTTGAACAACTTGCTAATGGGTGTCTGGGGAACAAACTACCAAGAATACACAAGAGCTGGGCATGGTGTGTCCGTAATCCCAGCATTTGGGGAGTTGAGGTAGGAGTATAGTGATTCTGAAGTCATTATGAGTTCTCTATCCCAGGATACCTTAAAAAAATGTCTAAGAGTACATACTACTCTTGGAAAGGACTTTGATTCCCAACATTCGTTCAAGCTGGACAGCTCACAACTGCTTAAAGGATCCAGCTTCAAAGGCTCCAACACCCTCCTCTGGCTTGTGTGGATACCTCAAGCTAAACAGATACAGAGTACCCAGGGCCCAGATGTAAACAGTCATGATCACTGGACTTTTTATTGGCTTGGCCCATCATTTCATGCAAACAGCAGCAATTTTTGGTGCTTTTCATTTCTATTACACTAAACTCAGTGAACTCTACAGGATTAAAAAAAATATATTTATATATTTAAAAATCTATTTATTAATATATATTATAGGATATAATATATAGTATAGTTCACGCCAGCCATAGGTGGGCGTGAACTGGTCTCCCAGAGGACTTGAATTTGGTTCCTAACAACAAGGTCAAGTGTGTGGCAACCACCTGCAAACTCTAGCTCCAAGGATACCTGTTTGTGGCTGCCCTGGTCATCTGTACATGTAGCACAGACACAGTAAAAATAAAATCTTAAAAAATGACAAGATTTTTAAACCTTAAATATTTATGGGATTTTACTTATAATTATAGAACTAAAACATTCTCTTCAAATTTTAAGTCCAGGGTTGGAGATATGGCCCAATGGTTAAACAATTCAGCTTGTGTGAAGCCTGGGTTTGGTATCCAGTACCACAAAAACAAAACAAACAAAAAAGGTGGAATAGGCACAAAGTAAAAATAGGAAACTCGGGTTTTCTATAGAGGTGTAATATGTAAAGTATACTTGTTGGAGCCTGATAGGGGAGTTCAGCCAATCACTTTCTGTTTGTGGGGTGTGTTGCCTTAGGCTAAAGCTTGCCTATAAACCTAGCAAGTGCGCTCCCGCTAGCTCTCTCTTGCCTGGCTCTTGCGTCCGGAGGGATCGTTTGGATTCTGGTGTAAGCGGTGTAAGTCTTACTTCTGTTTATTAAAGCTGTATATTTTGTATTAAGATAGTCTGGGGACTTTTCACTACCGATTGCCCTGTGGCTTCAGGAGCCCATGTGACTCCAACACAAATATCTATTTTCCCTAACTGGACTGGTACAGAGGCGTGTGGAATAACCAGACACAACTTACACCATTGTTACGGAAAAGGGCATCTCAGGCTTCTTCCTCCTGAAGATCTCCCCTGAGGATCTCCCCTGAAGCTCTCTGTGTTTATTCTCCAAACATCTTTTATACCAATACATAAACTGGGCGGGAAAATACATCATCATACTGTCATGTAGGCAACCAGGTGAATGGCCTTTTGTCACGTCCGCATCTGTCTGCTGAGTATGCTAGCTGTCACGTAGGCTTGAATTAGCATCTCTATAAGGCATCCTCTAAATTACAAAATGAGGCCCCTCAGCCACTCTTCTTATTATTCCACTCCGTGGTGGTCACATGCTAATCTGGGACAGGGCAGAAGGGGAGGACAGCTGCCCAAGTACTTTTGTGTCTGGAGAGGCTGCAGTGGCTGTCCAGCCAGTGATCTGAGCCCTGAGGCTGTGGGCACAGGTAAACTGACTGGCAGTTACAGGGCCCGGTGCCCTGTTTCCAGGAGCATGCTCTCCAGTTGCAGCTTGCTGTCGCTCTCTATGTACGGCTGGTGGAGCCACATGGACAGGTAGGTCAGGATGAGGTTGCGGTCAGCAGTGTGGGCCAGCTCAGCACCAATGGTGTGCTTCAGGAGGAGTTCCTTCTTGTATGCACTGGAGAGCCGGTGGGAGACCTCATCTGCAACAGACCAGGTACCGTGGCTGCATGAGAATGCACTCTCCTAGACTCAAGCCGTGCTTTCATAGGCTTCTGGTTCAAAGCCAGAGTCAGAGCTGGCCAAGTGACTCATCTGGTAGAGCACCAACAGGCATGAAGCCCTAGGATCAATCCCTGGCACCCCATAAACTGGGTGTAATGAGCAGAGACTGGAGGCAGAAGGAAGGATGAGAAATACAAGATCATCCTCAGCCAGCACATAAAACTCTCCTCAAAACAAATCAGAATAGCACTGGGATAAAGAAGGACCAAGCTAGTTGAGGTAGTTAATTGGTAGGAAACATAAGGCCACACAACCCTCGAGTGTAATTGGAGTTTTCTTTGGGTCACCATCCAGCTCCCAAATAAAGACACAGAGACTTATTGTTAATTGTGAATGCTTGGCTTTAGCTTAGGCTTGTCCCACTGGCTCTTTTAACTTAATTAACCAGTTTTTATTCATCTACATTGTGCTTCTCTTTCATTCTGTTGTTCTACTTTCCTGCTGTTTCCGTGTCTGTCTAGCTGGCTGGCCACTGGCATGTCCCTGGCATTTTCTTTTCTTTCTTCCTCAAGCCTAAATTCTTCCTATTTACCCTCCCTGCCGGAAGTTCCACCCATACCTCCCCCCTTGCTATTGGTCATCCAGCTTTTTATTAGACCAATCAGGTGCCTTAAGTAGGCAAGATAAAACAGCAACACAGTTTTTAATAATTAAACAAATACAACACATCTTTACACAGTTAAACAAATATTCCACAACACTCAAGTAACACACCATAGCTATAAAGAGTCACCTCATCAAGACTCAGCAATAATAGCTCTTGAAGGACTGAAGCAGGGGGACTGCTTCAATTTGGAGGCATGCTTGGGCTACAAAGTGAGTACCAGTTCAGCCTAAGATGCATATTAAGACTGTTTAAAAAAGTAAGGAAGGAACTGGAGAACTGTCCTAGCAGTTAAAGAGCACTGAAGCTCTTCTAGAGGAGCTGGGTTCAATTCTCAGCGCCCATATCAGGCAGCTCACAAATACATATAACTCAAGCACCAGGAGGACACAAGGCCTCTGCTTTCCAAGGGCACCCGCATTCATGTATATGCATATATCTACACACAGATACAAATAATCACAAATAAATCTTTAAAAAAATAAGCCAACATCAACTAGCCTAACCTTAAATAACATGGCATTTTGTGTATATGTATACATGCTGCATTGTGTGTAGAAGTCAGAGTGCAGTTTTCAGGCATTTGTTTGTTCTACTAGCATGTGGGGCCAATGGGTGAAAATCAGGTCATCAAACCCAGACGCCTTTACCTGCTGAGCCATCTTACCTGCTCCCTTAGCCATGAATTTGAGCCCAAACCGCCCTTAAAATTGCTGTGATCCTCCTCCCAAATACTAGAATCACCAGCTTGCACCATGTGCTAGTTAGTTTTATGTCAACTTGACATAAGACAGTCGTTGGAGAAGAGGGAGCCTCAATTGAGAAAATACGTCCATTAAGTTGACCAGTGGGGCATTTTCTTGGTGATTGATTGGGGAGGGTGTCATCCCTGGGCTGGTGATACTGGGTTCTTTAAAATGGCAGGCTGAGCAAGCAATGGACAGGAAGCCATTAAGCAGCACTTCTCTATGGCATCTGTGCTAGTTCCTGCCTCCAGGTTTCTGCCCTGCTTGAGTTCCTGTCCTAATGTCCTTTGATGATGAACAGGGATGTGGAAATGTAAGCCAAATAAATCCTTTCTTTCCAAGTCACTTTTGGTCATGGTTTCATCACAGCAATAGAAATTCTAAATAGGACAGACCATCACTATCATGCTAAATTTCATTTTTCTCAATGGTCTCCTCCCATGAGGCGTATCCTTAACGGATGGGCTGACTTATTTCTTTATTATGCCCTTGAACTGACAGTTTTCCTGCTTTTGCGTCTCTATTACTGGCATTATAGGGATGTGCATTACTACTTCTGCCTTCAATTTACATATATATATATATTTTAAAGACAGGGTTTCTCTGTATAATAGCTCTGGCTGTCCTGGAACTCATTTTGTAGACCAGGGTGACTTCAAACCCACAGAGATCTTCCTACCTCTGCCTTCCAAATTTTGGGATTAAAGGTGCCACCACTGGCTGGCTCATATATTTATATTTTAAAAGACAGATAGATGCCCCGTTTTCATTCCTAAGGACTAGAGCTAACCAATGCTGATGTTCTTCTTAAAACCACCTCCAGAGCTGGGTGGTGGTGGCGCACAGCACTAGGGAGGCAGAGGCAGAGGAACTCTGCTCCAAAAGCCAAACAAAACAAAACAAAACAAAACAAAACAAAAAACCCTAAAAAACAAACAAACAAAAAAACTAAAAAACCAAAGACACCTTCAGAAGAGCTACTTACAAAAGAAGGTTGTGGGCCATGTGTGAAACAGAAGGGGCCGGTTACTTTCTTCCCTGTAATGGTAATTTTCTAGTTCACAAATTCCCTTCGTGGTTGAAGACAGCTTTTCCATTTTCATTTGTATTTTGGTCTGAAAAAGATATTAATTTGGAGTATGAGAATATTGCTTAGAATTTCTAATCTCAGATTTAGTAACTATAAAAAATTTGAAGGCTATATGTATAGTCCTGGTGGGGCTAAAATTCTAGTAACTCACCCCATTACCGCCACAGACAGATTTCCAGGGTGTGTGAGCAGGTGGGTACTGTGGTTTTGTTAACTTTGGATTACCTGGACTTTTACAGCCTCAGACAGAAGAAGGCTTGGTGATTCCCACCTCAGTAAGATCTCTAAGAAGCACTAGTGTTTAGCTTCAAATACCTGGAGGGATCCCAGTGGGCCACCGTTATGGAGTGAGATAGGCAGAGAGGCACTCAGCATGTGCATTTCTGTGCACCTCTGTGAGCCTCCTACCCACACAGAAGAGCACAATGAGAATATGAAACCCACAGATCTCCCTCCCTCTGCAACTGTGTCCTCTGTCAGGAAACACCAGCTCTTCTCCACAGTGACAAGAAAGGATGACACGGATGAAGGGCAGTGAAGTACCTGGTTAGTTATATGAATGATCATTAAGATAAACAGAATTAACTAGGATTCTACGTAGATTTAGGTAGCAAAGGTTTATTAAAACTAAATATCTAACTCCTGAGTATAGTTAACTGCTGCAGGAGCTCCTTCTGCTCCTTCAGCCAATAGACTTTAAGATACCAGCCCACTTGGGCGTGGTCTTTTGCTTTAAAAAGCAGCAGTAGCCATGCACTAGCTTGCTTGCTTCCTGCTCCACTTCCGGCTACTAGACTCCTTTCCTGGTCATGTAGAGGGCTGCTGTCTAGGATGGTGATCTGTAAGTTTTTCCCTTTATAAATAAATAACCCTTTTATTAATCATAATTCCAAACTGGTGTGGGATTGTTTTGTGACTTATGCCTTCAGTTAACTGCTATGTGTCTGGGGGAATAAAAGCAATATACAGCATCAAAATCATAATACCTTGTACTTGATCCTCCCAACCACCTAGCCCCTGGTTTTATCTAAAGTGGCATACACTAAATTCACCAAATGTTAATATTTAAAGGTATCTACTTTCTTCTCAAATTGTTTTAGGTTTAATATTTCACTTGGCTTAACCTCCAGACGGGTTCAATCATTTCTAGTCTCAGATGGGAAGATCCTTAAGGTAAGGTGGGGAGGCGGGGCCAGGAAGGGGTCTGTGCTTCCTGTGCATCCCATGGCCGACCCCTCCTAATTCTAGAATAGCTTAGAAGGGTTCAGAGAGGAGGAAAATCTGGGGGGTCCTGACCTGTCATATCTATAGTTGGTCCCCCACAGGGACAAAATCATATCTGTGTGTGCTTTGTTGAGCTAAAAGTGTAAAAACAGCCTACACTCATACATTTGCAGCTGGAGTGTCTCCCACAGTAACATAGAACACACTTAAATGGGGGTGCATCTTTAAGGGGAAAGGCTGCACCAATCCCCCAAGAAAAGATATGTAAAGCCAAACCTCTGTAATGGCCAGGTAAACAAGAAAAGCAGCATTCACAGTCTTCAACCCCAGCTTTTGGGCTTGAACACAGAATGAGAATACTTTTCCAAGACAGTTTAAGACAAATTCAAGCCAGGCGGTGGTGGCACATGTCTTTAATCCCAGCACTCAGGCACAAAGACAGGTGGATCTCTGTGAGTTTAAGGCCAGGCGGTCTACGAGTGAGTTCCAGAACAGTCAGGGCTACACAGAGAAAACTGTCTCAAAAAACAAACAAAAAACAAAATAAAACAAAACCTGAGTCAGGGTCGCCAGAACAGAGTTTCTTTCTTTCTTTTAAAAAGATTTATTTATTATGTATACAGTGTTCTGCTTGCATGTATGCTTAGATGCCAGAAGAGGGCATAATCTCTCATTACAGATGGTTGTGAGCCACCATGTGGTTGCGGGAATGGAACTCAGGAAGAGCAGCCAGAGCTCTTAACCTGTGAGTCATCTCTCTAGCCCTGAGAGTTAGTGTGTAGAGTTTACTTTCTCTAGTAAGATTGATTGTTTATGTGTGTGGGTGCCTGTGGAAGCCAGAATTGGAGCTGGAGTTAGAGACAGTTGTGAGCTGCCCGATATGGGTGCTGGGAACTGACCTGCAGTCCTCAGAAAGAGCAGCAAGTGCTCATAATACTCAAGACATCTCTTTAGCTCCAGGACAACAGGTTTCTTCTTCTTCTTTTCTTGATACAGGGTTTCTCTGTGTAAAGGCCTGGCTGTCCTGGAACTCACTATGTAGACCAGGCTGGCCTCGAACTCACAGAGATCTGCTGTCTCTGGCTCCCGAGTGCTGGTATTAAAACATGAGTGCCGGGCTGGAGAGATGGCTCAGTGGTTAAGAGCACGGACTGCTCTTCCAGAGGACCCAGGTTCAATTCCCAGCACCCACATGGCAGCTCACAACTGTCTGAAGATCCAGTTCCAGGGGATCTGACACCAATGCACATAAAAAAAAAAAGTTAAATAAACCATAAAAAATATTAAAAAAAAATAAAACATGAGTGCCACCACCACCTGGCTCTTTCTTTCTCTCTCTCTTTCTTTGTCTTTCTTTCCTTTCTTTACCTTCTTTCTTTCTTCCTTCCTTCCTTCCTTCCTTTATAGGGGGGACAGCTAACAGGTTTCTAAAAGGACTTTTCTATACAAGGGATATGGCCCCTTGAGAAAAAGGCTAACTCTAGGACAGAGGCAGGAAATATTCAAAGTAAGTCTGGAACAGCTTTCAGTGCTAGTTAGGAGGGAAATGTCAGAAACATTCCCAAGCTAGAGCTGTACTGTGGGGACAACATTTCAGCCAGAACTCCCAATGCCAATGTGCAAACAATCTGAACAAGAAATACAGGATCACAACCTGAAATTAGACCTGCTATGTCCACACTTATAACTAGTGACCGTGGCTGCTTCAGTATCGTGTGGCAGTACGGAGAAGTCACCATGACACTGTCTGGCCCCCAAAGTCTAAACATTTACTCAATGGACCCTTTGTTAGGTAGATGGAAGAGGAGGCTGAGGAGGAGAAAGGGCCTCTCACAGTTTGAACACCCCCACGGTCAAACAAACCCCAAACAGTTCCATTAGGCTTGAGTGACAGTGATGTAGATGGCTAGCTCCTTTAGGTCTTACCAGGCCATCCAAGGTGGCCTGCAGCTCCTCACATAGAGCTTCAAGTTCCTTATCATATTCCAGATTCGTCTTCTCTTCCTTTTCACTGGAAGCTGGGCTGCTGCTCTCTAATTCAATCTTCTCTTTACTCCTGGACAAAGCAGAAGATAATGGGTACAAATTACATGCTTTAAACTCATCTCATGCTGGGTGACCAAATGTCTTTATCCCAAGGCTTGAGGAGGAAGAGGAGTTCATAGTTAACCTGACTTCACAATGAGTCCCTGCCTCAAAACACAGAAAAGCTGGGAGGTGGTGGCGTACACCTTTTATCCTTGCAGCACTGGGAGGTAGAGGCAGGCAGATCTCTCTGAGTTCAAGGCCATCCTGGTCTACACAGTGAGTTCCAGAACAGGCTCCAAAGCTATACAAAGAGACCCCATCTCAAAAAGCAAAAAAAAATTAAAAAGAAAAAAAGGGGAGGAAACCCCTTCACCTCATTTTATTATAGTAAATTCTATAGAAGTCATTAGCCACATAATCATGTTAGATATTTTACATAAATGTTGCAAATGTCATTATAGTAGATGTTTATTTGCATACACAATGAGCATATCCATTGATCACTCAAGTTTGCTATGCTCAGATAGAACTGAGGGCCTCCGGTGTGCTGTAAATGCTCTATTGCAAAGCTATACTCCCAGCCCTGGGCATCCTTGGTGTAAGGCTTAGTGCCAGTTGTACAAAGATGCATAAGATATGGGTCATTTCCTGAAGGAGTCAAGAGTTGGTGAATGGTTTTTAAACTGAAGTCTGTGATCCATATACTTTGGACATTAAAGGCTTGGTTTTCAGCCTATGGTGATGTTAGGAGGAGGGGTAATGATTAAGGTTAGGGTCTAGTGGGGAGATATCTATTTGTGTGATGGCATTCCCTTCACAGGATTTTGGGATCCCAGTATCTTCTTTCTGGCTCAGCCATGTGCATCCACTGTAATGTATGCCACCCGCCACAAGTGCTAACAAAACCAGGAGTTAATCTCTGGTGTTTCCTCAAGAGTCATCCATGGTTTTGAAGACATGGTTTCTCATCACTGGAACCTGGGGCTCAAAGACTAACTAGGCTGGGGTGGTGGCCTGTCTCTTTCATCTCAGTCCTGGGACTACAAACACACATTAGGGGGCTGGAGAGATGGCTCAGAGGTTAAGAGCACTGGCTGCTCTTCTAAAGGTCCTGAGTTTAATTCCCAGTAATGAGAACTGGTGCCCTCTTCTGGCCTACAGGTGTATACGAAGGCAAAACACTGCATACATAATAAATAAAACCTTAAAATGCAAAACAACAAACAAACAAAAAACTCAAACACACATTGGTTATCGAAGTCTGAACTCAGGTCTTCGTGTTTGCATGGTGAGTTCCTGACTGACTGAGCTACCTCTCCAACTCCTCCTTCAGTATGTCGTCCTAGCTGGCCTGGAACTTGCTATATAGTCCAGGTCAGCCTCAGACCCACAGAGATCCAATTGCTTTTGCCTCCCAAGTGGTGGGACTGAGGAAATGAGCCACTGCACTTGTTTCTCCCCGACCCCCAGACAGGGTTTCTCTGGTTAGCCTTGGCTGTCTTGGAACTTACTCTGTAGACCAGGCTGTCCTCAAACTCACATAGATCTGTCTGCTCTGCCTCCTGAGTGCTGGAATTAAAGGTGTGCACCATCATTTGTTTCCTTTGTTTTTTTCAATTTTTAAAAAATTTATGTGTATGAATATTTGTCTTGTCTATCTGTTGTATGTGTACTATGTGTATGCAGTGCCCACAGAAATCAAAAGAGGGCATCAGATCATCTGTAGTTGGAGTTATAGACAGCTGCAAGCTGCTATATGGATGCTGGGAACTGAACCCAGTTCCTCTGTAATAGAGTAGAATTTTTTTTTTCTCCTTCACAACAGAGATTTTATTGGTTGAGGAGCAAAGTACACAGTCTTTTCTTTTCTTTTCTTTTCTTTTCTTTTCTTTCCTTTCCTTTTCTTTTTGGTTTTTCGAGACAGGGTCTCTCTGTACTTTGGAGCCTGTCCTGGCACTAGTTCTTGTAGACTAGGATGGCCTCCAACTCACAGAGATACGACTGCCTCTGCCTCCCAAGTGCTGGGATTAAAGGTGTGTCCCACCACCGCCTGGCTCAATTCTTATACCCAAACCCTGAGGAGTCATACATTGTGTTCATGTACTCAAGAGCCATGTGTTGTTTCTCTGTGAACGTATTCCATGTGATGTTCCATCCTCACACTTGGCAAGTCTTCCCTAAGACCTCACATAGTCAAATGCTCACAATCCTCAGTCCCACTGACTCACCATTTTATACCATACACAGTGCACACTCAAAAGTTTATCTCTCACAGCACATTGTTACCCTTGTTAGGAAGATGGGCCGCCATGAGAGGACAGTCCTGACAGGGCAAGGGGAACAAGTCTACTAGAAACACGAGACCGGACATAACTGAAAATATTCCAGAGACAAATGCACAACCGAGACTCCAAATTACCATTTAGTATGCTTTGTGTAGTTGGATATAAGACTATCCCCCTCTATGGAATGTTATGGTGACTCCCGAGACAGTCACAGCCTCTCCTGATTCAGTATCCTGCTATTTTCAGGTTGCACCAAAAAATAAACAACCACAGTGATTTAATGTCTTAAAAAATCATTTATACTTAAAAAATTGGATAATGCGGGATTTCTCCCCACCTTTTAAAAATGTTTCTAGAGCTACTAAAAAGTTCGCATTTACAAAATAGTTGATAAAAATATTCCTCTGGATTGTACAAGAAGGGAGGCGGGGACACCAACAGCCATGATGGATGGTTAGCCGGACTTGGCCTCTTCCTCCTCTCCTCCAGAGGCTGGACTCCGGTATTCCATCTCTCCGTTTCTGCAGGCAGATCTGTGGTTTGCTGCTCAGCCACTTCAGCTTGTTTGCCTTTGCTCCCCTCTTCCCTTTAGTTTGCACGTTTTTTATCTGATGATTTATCTTTTCCCGTGGCCTTTTTCTGGCACACGTCAACCTTGTCAGGGGCAGGCTTGGCTGACAGCTTCTTGGAGTGCTTGGGCTCCCTTTGCCACTCCATCCTCACTAACCTTCCTCTTGGGCATCGTGGTGGTGCTGGATGGGAGGCACGTGTGATGCCGGACCTGTCATGGAGCAGCCACACAAACTCTAGAAAATACTCTTAACCATGGAGTCATTTCTCTAGTCTCCCCACCCCCACTTTGTCTTTTTTAGGAAAAAAAAAATGGAGCTGGAGGTGGCAAACACCTATAATTCTAGTTCTTGGGAGATGAAGGCAAAATGATAAGAAGTTGAAGGTTATTTCAACTATGTAGTGAATCTGAGGTCTGCCCAGGCCTACATAAGTCTCTGTCTCAAAACAAACAAGGGATGGAGGCTGGAGAGAGGTCTCGGTGGTTAAGAGCACTTGCTGCTCTTTCAGGGAACCCAGGTTCCATTCTCAGTATCCACATGGAGGCTCACACCCTTTTCTGGCCTTTTTAGGAACTGCACCTATGTGATGCACATACATACATGCAGGCAAAACACTCATATGCATAAAGTTAATAAACCTGAAAAACAATAATAGCAATAGGGTCTGGCCAGAGAAAGAAGGATTAGTTATTAGGTACACCGACTGCTCTTCCAGAAGACCCAAGCATCCACATGGCAGCTCACAATCACCTGTAATTCTACTTCCAGGGTTCTGGCTTCTGTGGGCAGCAGACACACAAGCGGTACACATATATACAGGTACAATATTCATATATACAAATAAAAAGGTATATAAAATGAACTGGGTGCAATGTGTATTTCCAACTCCTGAAGGAGGTTATGGCAACATAGTGAGGTCCTGCCAAAAATGTAAATAAGCCAGGTATGGTGCACACATGTAACCCTAGCAAGTTAGGAGATTGAGGCAGGAAGACTTTTGGGTATTCAGGGCCAGCTTGGTGGAGGGAAACTATTTAAAAAAGAACCAAAAAGCAGCTAAACAAAATCAATAAATGGAAGGAAGGGAGGAAGGGCTAAATGGCAGGCAGCAGTATACACATGAAATCCCATTTACCTACCACCCACATTCCTAAGAGCAATATCATGTCTTCCTCTTCCCAATCGTCTTCTAACTTTATAAACAGATGTAAACAACATGTAGTATAATGTTATATTTACTTTTACATTTATTTGTGTGTATATAAAATGGGCCCATTTATGCCATGGTGCGATGGGCAAGGATAACTTGCATAGTTTGGTTCTCTCCTTCTACCATGTGGGTTGTGGGGACTGAACTCAGGCTTCGTGGTAAGCACCCATACTCACTGAGCCATGTCCCTAGCCCAAGATGTCAAATGTGTAATCCTCCTGTCCCTGCCTTTTCAGCATATCCTCCCAATGTGGGCCACAACACCCAGCACGCATCTACATTTAAATGTATATGTATAGTTCATATTTGCATGTATCATTTTGCCATTCTTTTGGTTCAATATTTTATTTTACTTTATTTACACCAATAAATCCTCACTCCCTTGACTCTTAGGCCCAATGGTTAATGTGACAATACGGAGCATGGGCACTCCACATGTACTTACAATAAGCTGACTTTCAAGTTGGCAATATTGCTCACGGTGGTAAAACCGGCGTCATTGAGGCTTTCCCACTTCAGGATTAAGTTATGCCAATCAGCTGCATTGTCCTTAATTTTCCTTGCACTGACGGATAAAACAGGTTTCCTGGGTGTTGCAATTCCAAGAGTCTTTGCTGAGAGGGACCAAAAGAAACACGACTATTAAGGAACACAGGATCACAGTCATCCATAGTAAAGTGGTCTGAAATGTCACACCAACTGGATAAACCAATGTTCCAGAATCTAAGAGGCTGTTCACAGCTCATGGCTCCATAAACACTTGCCTACTTTCTTTTTAAGACAGTGTCTCAAATGTAGCTCCAGCTAGCCTTGAACTCAAAGAGATCTCTCTCTCTCCAGTGCTGGGATTAAAGGCGTGTGCCACAACACTTGGCACAGCACCTTGTCTACTTAAAGCTGTGGCTTTTCCATTATCTCTTGTATGAGATAATCTAGTCTTGACTGTACCCCCACTATCCTCTTCCAGGCACCCTGAATCCTTAAACGGAGCCTCTGACTCCTGAAAGCTCATCACACCACACACCGAGCAAGCGGGACACTGGACATGCAGGGGTGATCTGGCCAGGCTGCTGCTGCTCCGCCTATGACTTGGGAAGAAATCGACACTTCTGCCTGCATCACCGCTTCAACACTTGTCTCAATCCCCACCTCCAGTCCTCCATCACCAGGCAGAACTCCAAAGCACATGCAGCTCTCTCCGGGGCAGCTCCTTCCTGAAGCGAGTGCTGCCCATCTAAGACTCACCTGATCCTCAGCCTGAGGAAAGCAAGACCAAGAGCAGAGTTTGAGCTGCCTTCTCAGCTTAGAACCCTAAGTAGTCATCGCACAGCTGAGCGGAATCCAGGACACACGACAGCTGCCTGCTCTGGAGGCTACGCTTCCTGGGCATGAATCCTAGCTCTGCCAGCTCTGAGTACAGACATATTTGTCAATCTCTTGGAGCCTCAGTGTTCTCATCTGCAAAGTGGTGATAAAACAGCATCTACTCCATAGGGCTGTTAGAAGTGGATATACGAGTTTGAGGCTGCCTGGTCTACATACTGAGTTCCAGGCTGGCCAGGGCTACATAGTGAGACCCTATCTCTAAATAAATAAATAAATAAATTCAGTATTAATTAGGGCTCTGTTTTTTGTTTTAATGGTATTGGGACTGAACTAGGGTCCTGTGCATACCCCATTGGGCTATAGTCCCATCCCATTTTATTGTATGAGATGGTATTACCAAGTTGCCCAGGCAAGCAGAAGCCATTTTATACCTCAGACAGACTTTGAACTTTCTATCTTTCTGCCTCAGCCTCCCTAGTAGCTTGGATTGCAGCCTGTGCAACCATACCTAGCCCATAGCTCTTCTTTTAAATATATTGAATTTTTTCATTCATTCTTTTTTTAAAATTTATTTATTATGTATACAGGTCTGTATGCATACCATAAGAAAGCACCAGATCTCATTACCAATGGCTGTGAGCCACCATGTGGGTGTTGGGAATTGAACTCAGGACCTTTGGAAAAGCAGCCGGTGCAGTGCGGCGCTCTTAACCTCTGAGCCATCTATCTCTCCAGCCCTTTTCATTCATTCTTTACTTAAACAACTAACAAATATCAGTAGGCTACCTTCAATATGTCAAGTATGAAGAGTGAAGTGACTGAATGAGACTAGGGCCTTTTCCCACAGCACTTACCTTCCAAAAGAGAGTCAAACAATACCCAAGTAAATGATCTTAGCCAGTTCAGATCATAAGTACTATGCAAAAAATGGAACAGGAAGCCAGGTGTCATGGCACAGACTTTAATCCCAGTGCTCCAGAGAGTGAGGCAGGAGGATTACTAAGAGTCCAAGGCCAGGCAACCACTGTGAGTTAAAAAGAGGCTAATGTGGGCTGTGTAGCAGGACTCTGTCCTGTGTTAGCATGAACATGAGGTATGAAGCCAGGGAGAGGGAGGCAGCATGGGCCCTAATATGACCATGAATTTGGTGAGTATAACAGACAGGACAAACCAGCATTACCAGGCTAAAATGGAGAAAAAGTGGCAAATACGGAGGAGCTCACACACCTAGAGCCGCACATGCCAAACAGGACGAGCTAAGCACAGCGAAGAGCAGGCAATGAATAAGCTTGGAGCAGAACAGCGACATAATGTCCATATCTTAAACCTTACCCTCATTGCCAAAATAAGCAAAAATTGGTTAAAAATACTCCCCGATGAGATATGAAAGTGGAGAGAAATGCTGGGTAAGAGGGTATCATTGGAGATGGGGGACAGAATCAGAAGAGGGTCAACCAAAATTAAGTATGAAATGCCATAAAGAAACCTGCAACTTTGTAAGTTAATTAAAATGAATAAATAAATGAAAATTTAAATCCTCCTGTATAAGGAGCAGATGGTGATGAGGACAGAAGGAACTATTTAAAATTGGACTGGAGGAGAGTAACAGAATTCCTGTCAGTTTTTACTTTAGTCTTAAATGTTAAAGCCCCCTCCCATGAAAAAAAAACCTCTAAGGAAAGAAAATCCTTAGGGTTTTTAGTGGGATATTCCATATGCTGAAGTCTTGTAATGGTGTGCTAAGTGTCAGTGTGGTAACATATGAAAGGCTTGTGCACACAGGTAAATTGTTCACTTTTGAGAAATAAAATGTAACTTCTTTTTGTATCTGGACATCAAATTATCAGATTTTAAAGATTTGTGTGTCTCTGTGGGAGTGTCTGCCAAGGCCAGGGGGTGACCCATCTCCTGGAGCTGGCAGTGTAGGAGTTTGTGATATGCCTAATGTGGACGCTGGGGACCAAACGCCAAGACTCTAGAAGGGCAGGAAGTGCTCTTAACTGCTAAGCCATCTCTCTACCTTCAAATTTTGTTTTTCTATAATTTAACCTCACCTTCATCAGGGGACTAGAATATTTTGAGACTCATTTTTTTTCTGATGCAAAAAATTTATAGCTAAAATTCTATTTGTTATTGACTTACTATTAACTTATCTGTAAATTGCAATAAATATATTTGCAATAGTTAAATGCAAAAAAATGAAAGAAAGAAAGGCATTGCCCTGGTCAGTTTTGCTGTTAACTTGCTATACCTGGGGAGAACCACACTGAAGAGTTGTTTGTGGGGATGTCTGTGTGATAAATGATGTATAAGGGCCTAGCCCACTACGGTGGTGGGCTGTATAAGAAGACTATCTGAGGGCCTGAGGGATGGCTCAGAAGTTAAGAGCACTTCCTGCTCTTCTGGAGGACCAAGCACTCACATAGAGTCTCACAACCGGCTGTAAGTTCAATTCCAGGGGATACTATATCCTCTCTGGCCTCTGTGGACACTGCACACATACAGTGCACTTAGATAAATGCAGGCAAACACTTATACAAATAAAATAATAAATGAAATCTTATAAAGACAAAGTAAGCTAGCTGGCAGTGCACGAGCCTGGGAGGGAGCTGGAGAACAAGCCAGTGAGCAGCCTTCCCTCACTGTTTCTGCTCCTGCTTGGGTTCCTACCGATATCCCTCAGTGATGGACTGTGTCCTGTTAGGGTAAACCAAATAATCCCTCCCCTTCCAAAGGAGCTTTCTAGTTGGGGTACTTTACCACAGCAACGGGAGGCAAAATTGAAGAGTTCCATCAAATACCTTGGTTACATTAGGAATCACCGCAGTAGACATTTGTCACCTATACTTTGGCTGTCATCACATTCACCAGTGAATCGAGTTATCCGCTTAATGTCTATATTCCCCGCTGGACTGAGTTCAACCAAACTAGTTTAGTCTCGTTTCCTCCCACATCTTGCACATAGCATATGCTGAATCAAACATGTTACATAGAGGAACTGCTCTTACTACCTGTATTCGTCCCTAAGTGGGGGTTCCTGAGAGCGAGGATCACATCGGACTCAGTTTGCCGACCCCACTTAGGAACTCAAGGCACAGGTCCGAGGTTTAGATACTCCCAGCCAAGTAGGGAGCTATTAGTGATCGGTCACAGGCCAGGGCGGTACTGATGTTACTCCAGGAGACCACTGCCATACGCACTAATCGGCACAGAGACAGCCTTTATTACAAGTTGCAAGCTTCACGGCCGGCGTTCCTGATTGCCGGAGTTCAAGCAAGGGTTTCTGGAGGGGCTGGCATGTTGGCGCCAATGTGCTCCGGAATGCTCTAAGCGTCACACCTCTGACTAATACTTCACAGACATCACCACACTCAGATCTCTCACGGGAAAGAATAGGCTCCTGACAGCCCGCGAGGTTCATGCGCGCCCTGCATGTCACACGGCGGACTCCCAACCTTCCCGCAGACCTGCAGCCTCGCCACAACAAGGGAAGCACAGCCCTCACACGCACCTTCCATGCGGTCCACAGGTAGATATCAACAAGGAGACCGAGGCCCCGCCCTCGGACTGAGGAAGTGGCGTCACTTCCGCTTCACGGGTCGGCCGACACTTGTGGCTCTGTCACTCAAGCTCTCCGAGGAGTCGCTGCTGCTCTCGGAGGCCCAACCCGTTGCCCAGGCAACAGGCTCCCGGCAGCCCCTGCGGCCCGGAGTGCATCCCGCCTCCTCCGGGCTGGCGGGGTTGACGAGTCCTGAGGGGCTGCTGCGGGAGGTAAGTCCCGGAGCTCGCTGGCGGGTCCTCGATACCGCCGACGTCCCCGACGTCGGCCCCGCGCCGTTCCTCCTCCTGGCAGAGCCGCCCCTTCCTGTCTCAGCCCGTCGGGTCTCCGCAGTCGCGTCGCCGTCCCTCTGGCAGCCACCGCGCGCGGCGCGTCTGTCACAGCCCGCGTCCGTGCCGGGCACCGGGCGTCGCAGCGTTCGTACACTGCCCGGAGCCGCGGCGGCGCCCCAGCTCCCCTTGCTCCTCCTCTCCTGCCCCACCCTGCATCCCTCTCGCGGCGGGCTCCAGGCTCCAGGCTGGAGATTGACGTTTCTTTCTGTTCTGTCCCTCCAACCCTCAGCAGGAACCCTTCCATTCGCCCACCAGCGCCAAGCAGCTGGCTTGGGCGTCCACTAGGAGTTCAGTAAGTGCTGGTTAAATGCATAAGCGATTGCCTCCCGGTTAATAAGGACTGTGTGGGCTCGGAGGCGGAATGGGCAGTGAGGGTTAAATAATGGGGTGACCCCGGGGTCAGACCCGAGGTCTGGTCACTGCACTTCCCTTTCTTACCAGTTTGCTGGAGCAAGTGTCAACTTCCTAGCTTTAGTTTCGTCATCTGTAAAATGATAAGTTTTTATCTTGGGGTGGTGGAGCGTTAAATGGGTCAGTGCATGCACAGGTAAGTACAGGGTCTGGCTGATCAATCTCAATAAAGGATAGCTTGACTGTTGTCATCCACACGACTCTGCTGGCTTCGCAGCCTTTTCCTCTAGTCCATTTAAGTCTCTGGCTTTCCAGTACTTTCGTTTCCCTTCTCAACTTTGCTTCTTTATCCTGCTCTTTTGTGCTTTCTCTTTCTCACTAATATTCAGGGACTTTTCTGTTCCATTTGTTGGCAGAATGTGAAGGGTATCGTTTTGTCATTGACTGAAAAGATCATTTGCAGCCAAGATTTTAGAAACTTTTGGAGAAGGGAGCTGCGGAAAAGCTGGGTCCTAGGTATGAAGTTGCTCTAATCCCTTATCTCCAGAGTTTGTCTTAAGCTGTAACCCTTTTTGTACCTTCTTGTACCCAGCTGTAATGCTGATATGCACTGGGACCATTTCGTTTGCTTTTGTAACCTGACTTATAGCCTGTGTTTGTTCACTCACCAAGTGTTTACCAGGGCCCGTCTATGCCAGCTGCTGTGCAGGCCTTAGGGATGCGTGGCTTACTCTTAACACCCAGTCACTACCCTCAGGAAGGGTGTGTAGCCTGGCTCTTGAGATTTCAAACCTGCGAATCCCATTTGATTTTCAGGGTAGACTTGGGAATCAGGGATGGGGAGGATGAAGTCTGGTCATTTTTTTCTTAAGTTTAAAAACTTATTTTATGTATATGGGTGTTTTGCCTGCATGTATATCTGTGCACCCATGTGTCCAGTGCCTGCAGAGGTCAAGAGAGGGCATCAAATCCCCCAGAACTGAAGTGATCTGCCAGGTGGGGGCTGGGAATTGAACCCTGGTCCTCTGGAAGAGAAGATCTTGCACTGAAGGGTTGAGCTACCTCTCCAGCGACAAGCAAGTTTGTTTTTGATGTCTTTTTCATTGTCTTTTTCAATGGAAGACTGATTTTTATTGGACTTGTTTTCAGGTTTTTCTGAGGAAGTTATCTTTTGGGGTTGAGGAGGATCCCATTTTACAGTAGCTTCTGTATAATTTGAGCCAAATGACTCCTAGAACTTAATAGGGAAAAAGGAAGGAAACAGACAACAACCGTTGATTGAATTTGTAGAGATGAGGAATGGATTAGGAGATAGTTACGCAAATAATAAAAATGGGCTTGGGGCTCAATCTTGGAGAATTCTGCCAGTATTGACCCAGGAATTTGGGAAAGTCAGAGGACAGATATTAGGTGGTGTGTTTTTTCTGTTGTTGTTTTGTTTTGTTTTGTTTTCTGTGACAAGGTTTCTCTGTGTGACAGCCCTAACTGTTCTGGAACTAGCTCTACAGTCCAGGCTGGCCTCAAAATCATAGAGATTCTCCTGCCTCTGCTTCCCCACTGCTGAGACTAAAGGTGTGCACTAACCTTTAGTCCCAGCAGTTGGGATGGGTGTTTTTTTTTTTTAAATGAATTGTTGAGACAGAAGCAAGTTTAGATTGCGTGTTTGTTTCCCATGAATGTACGCTTTGGATCTGGTTGTAATAGTTACAGTGAGTCTTTGCTGTAGTCTTGGGGCAACGTGGCATAGTTTTTTGTTTGTTTTGTTTTGGGGACAGGCTCTCACTATAAAGCCCAGACTATCCACAGACTTGCCCTCAGCACAGGGTTTTTGAGAGAGAGATTAATCCAACAAAGATGAGTACAGTGTTGGTTGTACTGTACTCTAGTAGTTGTTTGTGGTTTTGTTTTAGTTCATTGGTTGGGGGTGGGGGTTGGCAGAATCTGGCTGTGTAAACTTTGATTGGTTTGTGAACTGTCAGTGGAGACCAAGCTGGCCTTGAATTTATGGCAATCATCCTTCCTCTACCTACCGTGTTCTGGGATTACAAGCTCGTTTAGGAGTCAGCGTGCTGCCTCATGGGGTAAGAGCACTTGCCTTGCAAACCTGGTAACTTGAGTTCAATTCCTGGAACCCATGTAAAGGCAGACAAAGGACCGGCTCCACAGTGTTGTCCTCTGGCTTTCACATAGAAACCACGGCACAAATACACTTACGTATGTGCATCTCTCTCTCTCTCTCTCTCTCACTCACACACAGACAGACACACACACACTGATAACAAATAAATAAGAATGTAAGGTTTGCAACTGGAGCAGATAATGTAGATGGAGATGAAATTAGATATAGAACTTTCTTCAGATGTCTGGTTTCAACCCTTGGGTTGGGTTTAACCTGTGAACAGTTGGCTAGCCTGCAGGTACAGAAGCAGGAAAGCAACAGCATTTCATTTGTAAGATAAAGTATTCCCTGACCCTTTGCGTTCCACCATAAAATCTTTCTTTTTTTTGTTTGTTTTTCAAGACATGTTTTTCTGTGTAGTTCTGGTGGTCCTGGAACTCATTCTGTAGACCAGGCTGGCCTTGAACTCAGAGATCTGCCTGTGCTGGGATTAAAGGTATTAATCTTAATATGTCATCTACTGGCCATGGTAGTGTATGATGTACTCCCAGCAGACGTGAAGCTAAACTAGATGATCCCTGGAAGTTCTAGGCCAGCCAAAGCTATGGTGTGAGACTGTATATCAGAATAAATGAATAACTTAAAAGCCAAAATAAAGATGGGTTGCTAAATGATCTTAGCAGATTATATTTACAAATGTACACACACACATATATGTAACAATTATAATTAAAGAGTAAAGAAGCCCAGGAGGTGGTGGCTCACATCTTTAATCCCAGCACTCAGGAGGCAGAGGCAGGCACATCTCTGTAAATTCTGACCAGTCTAATCTACAGAGCAAGTTCCAGGATTGCCAGAACTGCACAGAGAAACCTTTTCTCAAGAAAACAAAGCAAAAGCAAAACAAAACAAAATAAAAAAAACCAAAAAAAAAAAAAACCCCACAAAACCTACAAAGAATAAGAAGCTATGGGGGCAAAAAAGCTGGGCATGGAGGTCCCTGCTCATAATCTCAACACTTGGAAGAAGTGTGAGGGCCATGGGCTAGTGAGACTGTAAAAAAAAAAAATTGTACAGGAATACTAATTGTTACTTTGTATTGAGTTTAGAGAAGGTCCTTGAGACATAAATGCTATCAGAGCCTCTAGTGATATGTGACAATTATACTGCTGAGTACATAATTCTGTTCTGGGTTACTCCTAGCTCTGGTTTTGGGAAATGCTCATTAAAATGATGGTTGGATATAGTCCACCTTCCATGTTTATGAAATTGATGGGGGAGGGGAGAAAAATTATAGCTTTCTTTAAAAAAAGTTTTACTTGATGTGTGTATCTGTTTTGTGTATTCCATCAGTATGTGGGTGCCTGTGGAGCTAGGAGAGGGTGTTTGATCCATAGAGCTAGAGTTACAGAAAGTTGTGAGCCATCCGAAGTGGGTATTTGTACTCAGGACCTCTGGAAGAGCAGCAAGCACTCTTAACCACTGATCTGTCTCTCTAGCCCATAACTTTTAGCTTCACTTTTGTGTTTTAAACTGAAATGCTCATAGCCAAGGAAGCATTGCTTATATATTTTAAATTTATTTATATTTGTGTGCACTATATGTGTCTGCTTATCCATATGTGTACCATATACATGCAGTGCCTGAAGAGGCCAAAGAGGGCACCAGATTCCTTAGTACCGGAGTGCTGCCAAGTTGGTGGGTGGGTGCCAAGAACCAAATCCATGTCCTTTGGAAGAGCAGCAAGTGCTCTCACCTGCTGAGCCATCTCTCCAGTCCTAGCATTATTTATCTTAAAGACTGGAATAAAAGGGCTGGGGTATAGCACTAGCAAGAATGAGGGCCTTGTGTTTGATATCAAGCAGAGAAAAGACAAAGGCAGGGCAGAGGGAAGGGGATTGCATTGAGAATATTCTTTCTCAATAAGACTAGAAGTTAACATTTTATTTATTCATTCAGCAAGTATTTATAGACATCTTCTCTATGCTAAATTGGCATTCCTTCTCACAGAAGAGGTTATTTAGCAAGTGAAGAATCAGAAGCTGTGATGAGGATTATGAAGGCCATGTGGATGGAAAGGAGAATTTAGATATTCATAAGTGATCTGGCCTGGGAAGGCCTTTCTGTAGCTGAGCCCCCAGGGATGAAAAGAAGCCACATCTGTGGAAGGAGATGATTCTGTGTAGAGGGCATAGTGAATTCTAAAGCCTGAGTGGGGAGAAGGCGCCCTTGGTGTTAGTGCCTAGAAAATAAGTGAAAGTGAGCTAGAGGGAGAAATTAGGATTAGTAAGCGCTAGGGTTTCGATGTGGACAGCATTTGATTCAGAGCCTGGCTTTGCCCACCTACTTCAGAACTGTGACTATTTTCAATAAGTTAACAGGTGTGTGCCACCATTTTCAATAAGTTAATTTTAGTAGTGCTATTACACCACCAGGATTACAGGTGTGTGCTACGGTACCTGGTTTATATTCCGAACCGTTTTCAGATGGGTAAACGGCAACCTAGAACCATTAAATAATTTCCCCAGGGTCCCACAGCTAATCTTAGGAGATCCTTGGGACTTCAGCCCCAGTCCTTTCCCCCTCTGATGTCATTAGCTACTTCAGTGTGCTGCTGTTTTTCTGCAGCAGAAAGTCTCAGTTTAGTTATGGCAGTGGGTCTGAACCTGCCGTAGGGCAAAATGGGACTTTAGGCTTGTGTGTAAATTAGGCAGTGTAAGAAATGCAAAAACACTAGTCAGGAGTGTTTGTTGAGTCTAAATAGTTTTCATCAAATGTGTCACAGGACAAGGAGGCAACAACTCTTGATTTCTTCCAAGCCCACCCCAGCCATGCCTTCTTCTGTTGGCCAGTTTTGTCAGAGTCAACTTCAGCCCGTTTCCCAACTGCCCATTAGGTGAAAGAAACAGATCTGGTGCTGCGTTCTCCCAGAACCCCACCTAAAGAGATTCAGTGGGCCTCCTGGCTGTCTTACTTTTGGGTTCTGTGTCTTATTGACCTCAGAAAGTCCTTTGGAGACACATGTTTAAAGCATCAATCATTATGACAGCTGTGGAAGACAATTTGGCAATGCATTTTAAAATTTCGATATCTTGACCTCTTGAAGTTCCTGTTAGTATTACTAATTCACTTCCACTGGACCAGACTTTTATCACCTTTTGAAATATTTACAAGGGTCTGGAGAAATGGCCTAAAGGTTAAGAGTACTTGTTACTTCTGCAGAGGACCTGGGTTAGTTCCCAGCATCCATCTCAAGTGGCTCACAACTCCTTATAACTCTGGTTGTGGCCTCCAATGGTGCCTTCAAGTGCATATACTTGCATACGTGTGTATATACTCAGACACTCACATACACACACAATTAAAAATTAAAAATAGGGGCTGGAGAGATGGGTCAGCAGGTAAGATACTTCTCTGCTCTTGCAGAGAACCTAAGTTTGACTCCCAGCATATGGTGGCTCACAATTGTCTGTAACTTCTGTTCTAGGGGATTCATAACCTCTTGTGGCCACTGCAGGTACCAGACATGGTACACAGATATACATGCAGGCAAAACTCCCATACTTGTAATACTAATAATGATAATAATACATTTTAAAAAATATCTTTAAAACCGGTTCCCAACAGTATTCTTGGATATGTATCTGTGCTGCTTATAATGGTAAAATAAAAATATTTATGTTAAGAGAATTTTAGTTGATACATATAATGTATTCTTTGTTTTTTGTTTTATCTACAGTGTAGCTCAGGCTGGCCTGAGGTACACTTTGTAGTTCCCACTGGCTCTAATTAGGGAGCCTTGCAGACTAGGCTGTCTTGTAGACTAGGCTGGCCTCAAACTCACAGAGATCCATCTGCCTCTGTCTCCCAAGTGCTGGGATTAAAGACGTGTACCACCACCACCTAGCAAAAGATGATATTTTGCTGCTGTTCCATTTCTGTCACTCATTCTTTCCCTATCTATTATCCTTTCTCAGCATTTGTTCCTCTGTTCAATGCGTAGTTGCCGAGTGCCTCTGACATTCCTAACCTTTTTCTGATGCTGGTCTAGAGGATGTAAGTGAGGCATTGTGGCCTCTGCTCTCATGGGATTTACAAAGCTGTGTGTGTGTGTGTGTGTGTGTGTGTGTGTGTGTGTGTGTGTGTGTTGCGCATGCACATGCATGTGTGCACGTGCACGTACATGCTTACATGTGCAACAAAGCAAGAAGATATGTAGACAAAGCAAAGCAGATGACACGATCGTGCTGTGCTGGAGTGGGTACACAGACATATCTTGTGTAGGAGGTGCATTTAGTAGAGACACATTTGTTGAGGCCCTTTATGGCAAAAGCTGAATGATACTTAGATCATTCAAGACCATCAGGTAAGAATGAGTTTGATGGCTGGGTGGTGGCGCACGCCTTTAATCCCAGTACTCGGGAGGCAGAGGCAGGCAAATCTCTGTGAGTACAAGGCCAGCCTGGTCTACAAGAACTAGTTCAAGGATAGGCTCCAAAAGCTACAGAGAAACCCTGTCTTGAAAAACCAATAAATAAATAAATAAATAAATAAATAAGAAGAAATGAGTTTGATGAACCTGATCAGAAGAGGACTAAGGGCTCAGTCACTCAAGCAGATAGTGATAGAAAACTCAAAATGCCAGTGAATTAGGCATCCAAAAAGTTTCTTGAACCTGTACTGGCTAATTTTATGTTTACTTGGCACAAGCTATATAGCTATCAGAGAGGAGGAGCCGCAGTTGAGAAAATGCCTCCATAAGTAAATGGGCTTTGGGGCATTTTCTAAATTAATGATTGTTGGGAGTGGACTCAGCATATTATGGGTAGTGCCACCCCTGGGCTGGTGGTTCTGGGTTATTTAAGAAAGTTTGTTGAACAAGCTTTGGGGAGCAACCCAGTAAGCAGCACCCCTCCATGGCCTCTGCATTAGCTCCTGCCTCCAGGTTCCTATCTCACTTGAGTTCCTGTCCTGACCTCCAGTGATGAGAAGCAATGTGGAATTGTCAGTCAAATCTTTTCCTCCCCAGTTTGCTTTTAGTCATGGTGTTTCATCACAGCAATAGTGACCCTAACTAGGACAGAACCTGAAGATGTAAACTATACCTCCAGATTGAATCAGACAGACTGACAATGTACACCTGTTGGTTATATCAGAGTGATGTCCAAGGGCTGTGGACTAAGGGGAAAGATTGAGTGAGATTCAAGGCTCAGCTCGGTGGTCTCAACTGAGTCTCTCACTTCAGTGCCATCTTCTGAAAGTTGGGGAAGAGGTCACTAATATTCTTTAAAAAATGCTGGCATGCCCCCCCCCCCGCAGGCTCACAGAGCAGGCACTAGTCCAACAGAGACAGCTGTGGGTCTCTGCAAGATCCCCAGGGGCCATGTAAACAGGAGGCAAGCAGGCGGGAGCGTCTGGCTGTGGGCAGGCAGGCACATGGCAGGCAGGTAGGAGACAGAGACATGGACATGTAGAATGAGATTAAAATATTTATTCAGGGGGTTATGGAGGAAAGGGGGAGGGGGAAGAGAAAGGGAGAGGGAGAAGGAGAGGGAGAGAAAGAAAGACAGAAACAGAAAAAGGGAGAGAGAAAAACAGAAACACGTGTGTACACGCCAAGAGAGAAAAGAAAGAGACCAAGATGGCGACGAGGGGTCAAAAGTCAATGGGAGTGGGCGTGGCTTGTCCCTTAAAGGGACCAGAGATCAAAAGGAATAACAGTCACCTCATGCCAGGGCAGAGCAAGGCTTAAAACGAGTGAGTGAACTTGGTTAACCACAGGTGCTGGTGAGTGTAGAGCATCTTGATTTAGTGCATGGATGAGCAGGTGGGAGCTGCAGGGTGCGTGGGTTCAAACACTGACATGGATGATGGCTATGGGAACAGACATTAATGAGGAGGGGATTATTTCTCTAGAGTGGGCTTATTGTTCTAATACAGGCTTTCTCATGTGTCTTACTCAGACAGGTGGGACTTCATTGCTGGATGTTTTCGGTGGAGTCTTTACAATACTCTTTTTCTGGGGGATGGGGATTGAAGCAGAACTAGAGTCAATTTAGAAAAGTTGGAGATTGATTTGTTTTGAGATTGTTTTTACTGTAACCCAGGCTAACCTGAAGCTTACTGTCTAAATTTGAACGGCAATACACTTGCTTGCAGTCTCCTGAGTGCTGGGATTACAAGTATTCTTCTGACTATTAAAGAAGTATGAAGGGCTGGAGAGATGGCTCAGCCATTAAAGGCTAGGCTCACAACCAAATATATAAGAGTTTGGTTCCCAGCACCCACGGCTGTCTCTCCCGCCACCAAAGGAAAAAAAGAAGTATGAAAATGAATTTAGGCATGACTATTGGGACCATTTATGACAGAGAGAGAGAGAGAGAGAGAGAGAGAGAGAGAGAGAGAGAGAGAGGTACGCTTAGGAAAAGGATAGCACATACTTGAGTTGTGGAGTCTTCTCAAGAGAGCTGCCTCCTGGCTCACTTTAGTTCACACTAATCCTGATCTTTTCATGGAAGCCCCTGATTAATTCCTATAGTTTTGTATCTCTTTGTTGTTGCACTGCCTTTCTGACTAGATCATAAACTCCTTGAAAAGAATTATGCTTTATGCTCTTCTGTTCCACCACTGTGTTGACTATAGCATCAGTAATTCATTTTTTATTATAATATTATTATTATTTCACATGTATGGATTTTGCCTGCATGTAAATCTGCAGCACATGCATGCTTTGCCTATAGAGGCCAAAAGAGAGCTTTAATCCGCTGGAGCTGATTGTGAGCCATGATGAGGGTGCTGGTGATTCAGCTCAGGTCCTCTGGAAGAACAGTCAGTTCTCTTAACTACTGAGCTGTCTCTATCATCCCAGTTTGTTTGTTTATTTTGGTTTTTCGGGACAGGGTTTCTCTGTAGCTTTGGAGCCTGTCCTGAAACTCTTATAGTTCAGGCTGGCCTCGAACTCACAGAGATCAGACTGGCTCTACCTCCCAAGTACTGGGATTAAAGGCATGCACTACCACCGCCTGGCGTTTATTTTTATTTTAAATTATGTGAATGTGCCTCTGTCTGTATGGGGGTATGTGCACGTGAGTGCAATATGAGTGGTGGCCAGTAGAAGGCATCCCGTGGAGCTGGAGTTACGGGAGGTTGTAGACTACCTGACATGGGTATTTCCTAAACTTGAGTATTCTGCAAGAGTGTTACATGCTTTTAACCATTAAGACGTCTTTGCTACCTCCTCATCCCCCAACCATGATTCTTTCCTGTTGAAAATATCATGTTCCCACTATTAAATATTGTGGCTTTTTGGTATGACTATATACTGAAAGAGTTACAATGCTGTATTCTGTAGCCTGCAGGTTTCCCTAGATGATGAATAAGCATTCCTTCTGCCTGAAGAACACCTGTGGAAACCTTGACCATGGCATCGATATCAGAACCTGTAACATTCCGAGAATTCTGCCCTTTGTACTATCTCCTCAATGCCATTCCCACAAAGATCCAGAGGGGCTTTCGCTCTATTCTGGTCTACCTCACAGCTCTGGATGCCAACGGGGACTACATTGCGGTGGGCAGCAGCATCGGCATGCTCTACTTGTACTGTCGGCACCTCAACCAGATGAAGAAGTACAACTTTGAAGTAAGTCTTGTTTTCCTTTGCATCTGAGTATGTGCCAGCCATACTGCTGTTTCTCCACTGGTGTTCTAACTGTACTACGTGAGACACTGTACCTTAGACTTGCTAGCCTCCAGCTTCATACCTCAAGCCAACTAAATATTTCCCCACCTCTGTCAGGGTCCAGCCTCGACAAAAATACCTTTCTTCCAGAGATGAGGCCCGTGAATTTAGAAATATAGCAAAGAATACAAAGACGCATACAAAAAATAATAAAACACAGAAACACATAGGATAGTATCGGGAGGGAATTTCAGTGACTACTGAAAATTCAGCCGTGTTTAATTTTCAACAGTTTGATACACCCCTAATTTCAAAAGCTAGGAGTAGAACAAAAGGACTCCGTTAACATACAAATTGAAAGACACGGGGTACATTCACCACTCCTGCCCTAGACAAACCACTCCCTGGGTGGAATCCCAAATTATTTTCATAAAGGGAACTAGAACTTATTTGGACCCTTAGACTTTTGTTTTAGGTAGGAACCAGCTACTTCCCTATTTCAGGAGCACAAGGTCTGGCAACTAGGCACACCTGTTTACAGTAACCTTGAGAGAGCAGAACTCTGATTTACCACTAGGTGGGACCTCTGTTTGAATTAGAAGCACAAAACAAGTCTCTCTGACCTTTGGCCTCTTTGGGCCCCTACAGACCTTTGTCTCTAAAAATCTTTCCTCACTTTAAAAGGACATTTAAATGTTTACCAATTACACCAGGCGGTGGTGGCACATACCTTTAGTTCCAGCACTCAGGAGTCAGAGGCAGGCAGATCTCTGAGTCTGAGGCCAGCTTGGTCTACATAGTAAGTTCCAGGACAACCAGGGCTACACCAAGAAACTCTTGAAAAACAAACACAGAACAATGTTTACCAATTGCTAAGAAAGTTTGTTTCTCAGTGTTGTGCCCAGATTCGACCCCCAGAGAGAGACCACCAGAGAGGCCCAGACTGTTTAATTAGCATAATACAAACATGTTTGGAACCCATCTCTGACCCCACTGCAGTGAGGTAGAGAGGAGTTGTATCTCCTCTGTGAGATAAGTTTTTAAAGGTGTAACTACAAAGAGGCTTTTTGAAGCTGCTTTTGGTAGGGGTGCAAGGTCTTTTTCTCTGTCCCACCCTGCTTCTTTAGCACTAGGAGTTGAGGAAGGCCACTATCTTCCTGGGAAAACATTCTGCTAGGAAATTTCTTCTCACCCCTTTGAGAATGAGGGGTGAGGGTCCCACACTCAGTATCTAACTTAAATTCTACTCTCTTGAGATTATTCTGCAAAAGATTTACAGTAATCATTGACATAGTCCCAGACTATACACATCTTAAATAAAGTGACTGGTATGTGAATGGCCTGGTACAGCGGTCACCATTTAGTGAGCTTCTGTAGCTTACCAAGTACATAGCTTTAGTCTTAAAAATAAAAACAAGCTGGGCGGTGGTACTGAAAGACCCCTAGTATAGGGAGACTCTCACTCAAGTCTCGGGATAACACGACCCCCCCAGTAACTCATGAGAGATCGTCCTTGCTGCAATCACAGGAGGTTTAATTGACAAGACAGGAACCAGTGCACTGGGGCCGAGACTCATAACTCACGCAGGGGAGGTATTGTCCTTTAAAAAGACTATATGATGGGAGTGCCCCAGCGGCCTGCAAGCCAGACAGAAGCTGCCGCCAGAGCAGTACAGGTTACCGGAGGCGGCAGAGCTGGTCCTGTTATGCAGCAGGGGAGAGTCAGGCAGGCAGGTGCGGTGGATAATAGTAAACAGACATAAGGCTAGACATAAAGGTAAACATTTATTACTTAAAGAAAGGGAGACATAAAGACATGGAGACAAACATAGAGAGAGACAGAAACACGAGTGCACACGGCAAGAGACGGACAGAAAAGGGGAAAGCCAAGATGGCGACGAGGTCAGAAGTGGCTGGAAGTGAGCATGGTTAGCCCTTAAAGGGACCAGAGAGAACATAAGGAATAACGGGAGGAGTTCGACCCTGAGTCACTGGGAGAAGGGGTTTTTAAGGGAAGAAACCACAGCTCAGTAATACGAAGGGGTAGAGAGGTTGTCATAGAAAATTCTGAAAATCCAGTGATGATCACAAGGGGGCAACTTCCTGTTTCTCAAGATTATTCTCAAGATTATAACCAGCTAGTTCCTGAAACACAGTATTCCAAAAATACCAATGATAATCACAAGGGGGAAACTCCGTGTTTCTCAAGATTATTCTCAAGATTACAGTCTATCTTCAGCTAGTTCTTGAAACACTGAACTGGCTAATTCTAGATTTCTGATTCTTCTCTCCCTGCTTAGATTTTTGGCTCTATTTTTTCCTGCTGGGGGGGGGACTGGATTTATCCAGGGCTTTTATCGGGGGGACCCAGATTAATCTAGGTCTTTCAGTACCACATGCCTTTAATCTCAGCATTCAGGATGCAGAGGCCAGCTTGATCTATAGAGTTAGTTCTAGGACAGCCAGGGCTACACAAAGGATTCCTGTCTCGAAAAGCAAAGCAAACCAAAAAACCCCCATAAAACAAAAACTCTATGTATGTAGCCCTGGAACCTATGACCCTTATGACTCAGTCTGAGTTAAGCTTCCAGGTGCCCTAAGTTATGCCTGTGGATAATGATAGTAAGTGGCAACACTGGCATTTGAACTTGGCAGACTATGTAGTCTGTACTAATGTAGCTTAGCAGTGGCCTGCTTTCCTAGATGCATACAAGCCACTGGGTGCAGTCCTCAGTACTGAAAACAATAATAGCAGCAAAACTATTGTAGAGACTAGAGAGATGGCCCAGCAGTGAAGACCTTTTGTAGAGGACCTGGGTTCGGTTTCCAGCACCCTCATAGTGATGTACAACCATCCCTAATTCTAGTTCCAGGGAATCTTCTGAACTCCCAAGGGCACCAGCCATGCATGTGGTACACATATGTATATATAAGCAAAATACTTATACACACATGCATTATATAGCTTAAAAAGAAAAACTGTTGCTTTTTTTGTTTTTAGTTAGGTAGATAGGCGGTTCAAGATACCATCCTGATGTAACCCAAACTAGCCTAGAATTCACCATGTAGCTTAAACTAGCCTCAAGCTTGTGATCTTCCTACGTCAGCCTCTTAAGTTCTGGGATTGTTGGTAAGCACCACCATGCCCATTTCCCATTGCTATTTACTTATTTATTTACTTGGTAAATAATATTTCACAGATTCAACTACTCAAGTCCCCCAAACATTAAAGATAATCATAATTAATATTTAAATATAATTACAAGTTTAATATATCAAAAATTTCTCAAATCTTCAAACACTTAACAAGAAAGAGTTGTGAATGAAAGATGAACCCTAGCAAAGTAAACTGAAGTTACTGTCAGAGACATAGAGCTTAAACTGCTAAGGATAAGAAAAACTCTTAGGCTGAGCATGGTGGCACCACATGTCGTTAATCCGAGCCCTGGTATGACAGAGGAAAGTGGATCTCTGTGAGTTCAAGGCCAACCTGTTCTACACAGTGAGTTCCAGGTTAACCAGGCCTATTAGAGAGCCCCTGTCTCAAACAGAACAAACAAACAAAAACAAAACTCTTAAACATAACTAGAAAAATTAGCCTATTAGCTGTAGGGGATGGTGATTTGAATGACTGTACATTTCCCTTAGAAATCAGAAGACAGTAGCATATATTCTGAAAGAACTACCCAGCTGAGGATGGTAGCACGCACTTGTCTCAGCTACATGAGAACCTGTGGTAACAGGATCACTTGAGTCCCCAAACAACACAGCAAGACCTCTCTTAAAACAAACAAAACTTCCTAGAATTTCCTAGCCTTGTAATGTCTATTATAAACAAGAGATATCTGGGTGTCAGGGCTCACACCTGGAATCCTAATACTTGACAGGCAGATTGCTGTGATTTTTTTTAAATGAACTGAACATTTTTTAAATATTTATTTATTATGTATACAATATTCTGTCTGCATGTATGTCTGCAGGCCAGAAGAGGGCACCAGACCTCATTACAGATGGTTGTGAGCCACCATGTAGTGGCTGGGAATTGAACTCAAGACCTTTGGAAGAGCAGGCAATGCTCTTAACCGCTGAGCCATCTCTCCAGCCCCAGATTGCTGTGATTTTAAGGTTAACCTGGACTACTTAGAAAAACTAAGGTAAATCAGATGGCAAAAACCTGTGATCCTAGCTTTCAGGAGGCTGAGTTAGCCTCCTGAGATTGTGAGTCTGAGACCAGCCAGTTCTACACAGCAAGTTCCAGGCCTGCCAGGGTTTTATACAACAAATAATTAAACAAATAGAAGAGAAGGAAAATGAGGGATTGGAAACCAAGTTTTCTTAGTTAAAGGAAAACAGAATATTGATTGTCAATACCTGCTCTGAAGTTACTGTTTAAGAAAATCTTTCAGAGGGAAAAGCATCAGGAATGAAAGAACAGTTAGAGTAAATTCTTAGGGAAATAAAATAGGTTATTTTTTCCATATTGAGTTCTTTAAAATATATTTGACAGTTGAAATCGATGAGTGTAGATATAGTCGTATGAAAGACAGACACGAGTAGGGGTGCTATATGGTGCTAAGGATCATATATTCTGTTTGCAGAGGTGAAAAATATATGTGAGTTAGGGATGCAGCTCAGTGTGGTAGAGCACATGCTTACTAAGTACAAGCCTATGCACTGCCCGGGTTAAATATGCATACTTATTTACTACATATACAAGTATTTAAGTGCAAATGATTCAAATATATCTAAAAGACAGAAATTGTCAGAGCAAATTCACAAAAAGATGAAGGCAAGGCATAGAAGCATGTGCCTGTTACTTTGTGTTTGTATGTGTGTGTGTGTTTGATCCCTGAAGCTCATTGGCCAGCCAGAGGTTCAGTTTCAGTGGGAGACCCTGCTGAAAACAAAGATGATCAACTGGCAATATGATCCTCAGGTAAAGGCACTTGCTGCTTGGAACC